ACCGTTGGCAAAGGCAGCATCTTCAAGGCTAGGGCATCTGTGTCACCCTTTGCCGAAAGACATACAGGGGCTGTCTTTACGGTCGAGTTGATATCACGTCTGTGTATAGGCAGCAACGTCGAATATGCTAGTATGGTTGCTTTAGCGGTACGGTGGGATAAAAGGTTTCAGCACAATCACTCTGTTGCCTTCTCGGAGCTTCGAACCCAGGAAATTAGATGGAGTGGGAGTCACGTCAACATGGCGTCCAACAAGGTGCATGAAACTTTGGATATACATGATCGAGAGCATGTGCAGGTTATCAAGAGCATCTACCGGAAGTGTGGATGGCTGGGACAAGAAGGCTAAGGCGTTGATACCGGTTGAGAGTTGCAGACAGAGTATCCCTGGGAAGGTGTGGTGCAGATATTGTATCTAATGGAAACAAAGTTGGTGGTCAGGGTCAAAGATCGATCCCATACATACTCTATTCTAGCTTTTCACAACGGAGGCAGTTGCACTGGCTAGGGTGGCGATTGCGGTAATGATATATCGCCACGCATTCGTTCTCACCCATGTCTCAGCAATAGTCTTCATATCCACTTTCTCAGCCCACTTCTTTGCCGCCTCACTCGCCGTATGTGTATCAGTTCCCTGCCCAGATCTCTTCAACACAACTCCCTCTTCATTCAATATCTCCTGCACTTTCCACTTCCCTGCACCGTTCACTCCAGGCTCCATGTACAGCGCCGTATACGGGATGATACTAGCATTCGCCAGTGCAGCGACAACATACAGTACTGTCGCCGAACAAGAAGAGCTTTTGGAAATATAGGCGAGGAAAGCAGTACTCGAAGTGCCTGTCAAGATGAGGGGGGCGACAAAGATGGGTGCGAATTGGTAGGCTTGAAGCCATTGTTTGGCTAGGAGTTTTGGCGGGGCATGCGTGATGAGGGGCGGCATGACGACATGGCTGTATGCGAAAGTGAAGCCTGAACGTATATGTTCAGCCAGTCTTTAGATATTCTGGCAAAGTTGCATTACCTGTGTATACGGCTGGCGCAATGATTGCGACTGCCTGAAGGATGGGTACGAGAGTGCGGGAAGGCTCACTCATCGCGGCTGATAACAGTAGGCACGAATTTGAGCTGCCGTGGAAATACAAGTGTGTCTACGTAAGAACGCAGGGAGTTGTTGCAGTAAGATCTCACAAGATATAAATACAAATGCATGAAACATGATGTTTCAAGCTAGTGCTGTAGTTTAAGCGCACCAGTATGACCTTTAGCTACATATTCAGGAAAAACTACAAAACTGCTGTCTACTTCACTTCACTTGAACTAGCAAGTCTGGAGCTTTGACACGGCCTGCATTCAATTTTCCATATAAAGTAGAGCATGCCTGCTTGATGTACCGGCGCTCCAATCCGCCGTCAATCTACACTTAGGCTCCGCTGTACAGGTAGACTACAACTGCTCCAGCAGCCCCAAAACTTCCTGTCTCAAATCATCTAGACGAACATCCTTTTTGAACCTTAATCTTCGGCACTGTACCTCAACTTCCCTCCTGTCTTTCCAACTCCTACCCAGTACAATGACGACCGGGTATCCGATCAAATCGGCATCCTTCAGTTTCCATCCTACGCTCTTTCCTGACCGATCATCCAACACAAGATCTACATCTCCGTTCCGAGCTTCACCGTAAAGCGCATCGTACACCTCTGTCGCATCCCTATCCTCGGTTTGTGGAGATGTGAGAACGATGGCTTCGTAGGGCGCTATCGCCCTCGGCCAATTCAGACCTTTGGCATCTGAGAGGAGCGAAGCCACGGCTCCAATGATACGCGAAACGCCGATGCCGTGACAGCCCATTTGAATTGGCGATGAAAGGTTTTGGTCTGGCAACGCAACTACTGCGTTAAGAGGCTTGCTGTATCGGGTGCCGAGGTGGAAAGTATGGCCTACCTCGATAGCCTTTTGGACGTCGAGCTTTCCGTTGGAACAACGAGGACATGGATCGCCAGTCTCGATAATTGTAAGGTTCAGGGCGGAAGATTGAGGATTAGAAAGGGATTTATCGTGTTTGTCGAAGGTGAGGGAGGGATCGAAGAGGTCAATGATGTCTGTGGTCTTTTGGAGCAAAGAAGTGAGTGATGAGGATTCTATGCCAGTATCTAGCTCAATGTTCTCTGGAAGTGCTTTTTTGACAGCATGTAGATTGACACATTCATGCCCTTGATTCGCTTTTGTTGTCGCGGTCGAGGACGGACGCGGGATCCATACATTGATCTTTGTCTTCTTGTCGACGCTAATACCAGTGAACGCATGCCAGCTCTCGTCATTTGACGTGGGGTTTTGGCTGCTCTTCTCCGCAAGCTCTTCGTTCGCAACGTAATCGCATGAGTTGCAAGACCACACATTGTCTTCACCTTTGGGTGAAACGAAGTGATATTCATGGCTTAGCCTGCCTCCCATGTTGCCAGAATCGGCATCAGCAACAAGGTAAGGCAGTCTGAGCTCGTTGAAGAGATTGTTGTAGGCATTCCGTACTTCCTCATAGGTCCTTAGCGCAGATTCTGTTGAGTAGTCAAAAGTGTAGAGATCCTTCATCATGAACTCCTTAGCCCTTAATAAGCCCTGTCTTGGTCTTCGTTCGTCGCGGTACTTCCGTCCAGTTTGGTACAATCTCAATGGCAAATCTTTATAAGAATGCACCATACTGGCTACAAGTGCTGTGATCTCCTCTTCATGAGTCGGCGATAGCAAGAAGCCGGATTCTCTCCTATCCTTGATGCGTAAGAGTTCTGAGTTGGCGGAGTAGCGACCAGTTTGCCGCCATAATGCCTCTGTGGTTATTGACGAAAGCGCGAGCTTTGAAGCGCCGATAGAGCTCATATGCTTGTCGATCAGAGCTTCGAGCTTGTTTTGTACGCGTAGACCTAGGGGCAGAAGGTGGAAAACTCCAGAATGTGCCTGCACGTGATGAGTTAGGGTGGTGGTTGAAATAGAGAGATTCTAGATATTTACCTGGCGCAAAAAGCCACCCCGGACAAGGAGAGAGTGAGAATCATCTGAAGATTGTCAGTCAAGACGGATTAGTACTGTGTAATGTCTGTACCTTGCTCGCTGTCTTGTGGTGATATACCACCGGTTGGTGCCCAGAATTTGGATAATCGATTTCTTGAGTCGGTCTCATTGATCGTTAGATCTTGAATCCAAAGAAGACTCTCAGGTAAGCTGACTTACCGCTATATATCTAACATGTCGAAAGCTCTGAAATGGTGTTCTTTGTATTCGCGGTTGCCATGCAGCCCTACAGATGGAAGCCGCCATGCGCGCACGACTATATGGATGTCTCGCCAGAGTCACGACGGAGAACTGAAACAGCCCAGTCAAGTTTAGACAGAAACGAAACAGTTGAAACGTGATATGCGTTGTGGATGATTCCCGCGCGCGGGAGATCTGCCCTCTCAGAATCGTGCACAGACCATGCCGAATCTCAAAGCGCATGGAAATATTTAGAGATGCGAAGCCGTCTCTCAATTGCTTCGTGACCACATCTCACGTAAGCATTCCTGCTCCTCTATAGAGACTGGTTTTCCTGGAAGAGTACTAACTGTCATACAGAATGCCTCCAAGGATACGTATTAGGCCGCGTGCCCTCCGCGCCTGCGCTTCACACCCTACCCACCCCATCTCTCTACCCGCAATCGCGACCTACGCCTCGGTAGCAGCTGCCTCAGCGACGACCCCCGCACCTCCCGTTCAGCAGACACACAAAGCCGCGCCCCCAGTGCTACGATACCCGCCCACCCAACCGCCCTCTCACAAGCCGCCGGAGGTCCGCAAAACGCAACTGCACCGGCAGTATCAATCGCTCCTCAAGTCCTCGCCTTTGATTTTGATATTCCAGCACAACAACGTCAAAGCGGTAGAATGGATGAGCATAAGAAGGGAATTGGCTATTGCACTACGCAAGCTGGATGCGGAGAGGGCGAAGAATGGACAAGAGACGCTTGCAGATGAAGTTAAGATGCAGGTCATCCAGACAAACATCTTTGCAAGCGCATTGAGAGTTGTCGAGTTCTTCAACCCGGAGCAGTCCATGTTGGACCATGCACAACACCCCACAGACCCGCGCACACCCACGAGCGCGCAGATACCGCAGACGAGTAATGACGCAGAGGACGAGCGCTTCACACACGGTCTCTCCAGACGGGCACACGAAATCGCAAACAACAGGAAGCTAAAGTTGGAACTAGAGCCTCTACTCTCGGGTCCTCTCGCTGTTGTCGCCTTCCCCGATGTCGCTCCCCAGTACCTCAAGGCCGTCCTATCCATCCTGTCACCTTCGAAGCCCGACTTCCCTGCGCCAAGCCGGAAGGCGAGTCCAGACTACTACGAACCAGCGGTACAGGCTGGTCTTCAGAAGTTGATGCTCTTGGGTGCAAGAGTAGAAGGCAAGGTCTTCGATGTGGACGGCACGAAATGGGTTGGCAGCATTCCTGGAGGTCGCGACGGACTCCGAGCACAGCTTGTGCAGATGCTGCAAGGTATCGGTGGAAGCCTCACTAGTGCTTTGGAAGGTGCGAGCAAGAGTCTGTACTTCACCGTCGAAGGGCGAAGGATGGATATGGAGGAGAAGGAGAAAGGACCTGCTGGTGACGACAATCAGTCATAGAGGCATATTGAGCTGTGTACATTATGATCTGTAAGAATCAAGAGCTCCATCTTAGACTCCCATGGAATCCTTAAGAGCATGTGACTGCGTATTCCATAAATGGTAGTAGCACACTGTGGATCAGTGATGAAGCAGAAGCTTAATTACTTACCGGAACAATGATCTAGATTCCGATTATTCTGACACCACGACCAATCCTTATTACGGTTGCAGCTTGACAGAACAGCCAACATACTCGAATACTCCTTGGTCGTCTAGAATATAGTCATGTGACGTTAGGCCCGCTGCAGCTGCCTGGATGTTGACTCACTGAGTTTCTATAAGAAGCAGCCACACGCGAGAAACTGCTTTGCTGTACAGAAATACTTGTGTTTGCAACAATGCATCTACCCAACGAAGTCCACGACCTCATCATTTCAGATCTTGAACCGCGAGAACGCTTCAACTACCGCCTTATCGGCCACTCATTCGCACAAGCCGCAATACCACACGTCTTCAGGCGCATCAATGTCTCGCCCGTGGTATCCAGTCTCCGCGACCTGGCACACATTGCAAGCCAGAAGCATCTAAACCGCCATGTGACACACTTGGGATGGGACAGCGATCGATTGCGCCTCGGAAAGAAGATAGGTCAAATCGATCTTGAAGACAAACAGTGGGAAGCCGTGAGAGAGATATTGCCCAGAGATGCGAACGAGAGCGAACATCATGGAGATATTGGCATGCGTATTCTAACACTCATTCTCCGCCACTTTCCCAATCTCAAAACATTGGATATTGATATCTGGGAGAGCTCTGACACTACCGAAAGATGTCTCGATCCTTCAGACTCTTCGTCTATGATCCGGGGCGAATACGAGATGTATACACTCCTTACAGCAGCGCATGCCGTGGGATGTCAGATTACCGAGTTCAAGCTCTCCAGCGTAGGTAGACCGCATCCGCTTTTCCGTTCGGAGATCTGGCCTTCCCTCGTTCCCGTGTGCAAAGACCTGACATCTTTAAAACTTCCCTTGAACTTCGCTCTCAGCGTCGAGGAGAAGGAAACATGGTTGAGGGAGTACAAGGAAATAGAAGATCAGATACCAGAGGATGAGCGCACGACAATGTTCACAGGGTACACAACAGTCCATTCATTCCACAGCACAGCGGCGCAGATAGCTTCATTCCGGGCATTCCTTAGTACACTGAGTAAACTGCAGACGCTCGAACTGACGCTCAAAGCGGAGCAGTGGGATGAACACGTCGACATGGATGCTCATCTCAGCCTGCAAGGTCCTTCTCTCGAGGACGTGCTTCCTTCAAACGCTTTTCCGCATCTGCGTACGCTGGTGTTGGATCACCCTAACACGTCAACTGCATGTCTCAAATCTGTGTTGACTAAACACAAGGAGACACTGGAGGTGGCCAAGTTTACCAATGTCGCGTTCGCATTTTGTGAAACGCAATTAATGTATGGGGGATATGAACCTAAGAACCAAGGGTGTACGGCGTTGAAGGAGTGGGTAGAACTTGAGTTTGAGTTGGACGAGTTTGACTTGACTTGCCTAAATTGTGGATCTAATCTGTGGCCATGCTGTGTAGCAGTAGGCGGTATGAGATATTGTTGCTGACGGAATAGCGAGATGAATGGGATGTAGGCTTGGTTTTGAGGGGACTCTTGGTTGGGGAGACGCATATTTAGAGATATAGAATAAGTAATAAGTCTAAAAGAGCTGAATTTACTGCGAAGTATTTGAAATGTACGGAGTGTGCTAGCCATCTGTGCGAACCTAGACTCTTTTCACGACAGGGAAGTCATAATCGACATCCTCCTATTTCGCTACTTCCACTGCACAATTACCGCATTTTTCGTGAGAGCAACAACTACATACATACCCCCACGATCCCATCGGTCCATCTCCACAATTACACTACGATGATCAGCTGGATTTGGACCAGACATCTATGAACATTAACTTACGCAATACCACACCACCGTCCCACCACGTTCTCGAACACCATGGTAGCAACTTTGTGTAGACCAGTTGGCTTTCTCGTTTTTTTGTTCTGATTGGCTCCAGTCCGATGTATCATTTGGGTGGGATACACAGATCCGATCCGTCTGCTGTAATGCAGTCCAGTCAGCCCGCATCTCAGATAAGTCGCATCTCTAAACTAACCACGCATGATAAAAGGCAGCAGCGAAGAACGCGACACCCTGGTGGCATTCTCGAAGCAGAATATTGGTAGAGACGTCGAAGATGGAAGGTCCGCGTGGTGTCTCAAGTCCCTACCTGCTGACTCTAAATGCACCTAAACACTGATTGGACAAGCAGATCAACCAATCAGCCTGAGCACGCCACCTACCTCGGTGCATGCACAACGCCCTGCTATGCTTTTCATGGACCTATGGGGCTCCGCAGTGTTCAGCCTTGTCGCTCGTCCCGTGCTTTGCGAAGACAGAGAAGTGCCCCGCGGAATTGATTGCGATTTCAATAGGTGCTATGTGTTGGGCACGATCCGAGCACCCCAAACGCATCGCCAGAACGACAACGCATGGAGCACGTAACTTACCAGCCGGACAGTCCATGGAAGAAGTTCACCCATCGGCAAGAAGCAAAACATCGTCCTGAAGATGATCTCAGGCTATGTACCCTGGACCAGACGAGCGCCCAGGTGATCGAGAGATTTTTGTCGCCTGAACGAGATAAGATCCATCTAGATGAGCTTATTCCTCGTAGACGGCAAGTCCTAAGGGATTTCTTAAATGGAGTTCATCCGGAGGGCATACTCGGAATGGGTTCTTGCCTGCAGGACGTGAAGGATCGTAGTAACGACGATAACATCATTGCGCTTGTGGACGATCGGCAGAACCACGAAAGATGCGACAAGATTATCGGAAAGCCTTGTAATGATTGTCGTATCTTCTCCAGATCTGTTGGTATTCCCGAACTCTGTGAACGGATGCAAGAGAAGGTGAACCAATCCCAACAATAGTGACATCTGACACAAGGCTCAATCAACGACAGAGAAGCACATACAAGGCCGAAAAGCGAATAATGTACGATAGCCAGCTTGACAGGGAGATTCCAATGGAAGCACGTGTATTGACCTTCACAGATTCATACCGAATATTACACCTGCGGCAGCTGTAGGTTTAGCTGCGACAGTGGCGGAGCGATCAGCAGTCCCCCTCCGGGACTTTCTACACAAATACCTTAAAAGAGAGGCTATCTTTAGTGCGACAATAGTAAGCTTATCTAGACCAATTCCTTTAGTTGCTGACTGTGTTAGTCGTGGGGTTTCTTCTTCGATATACATATACCATATCATGCCATGCGCCGCGGTCCACTTGCGGGCACTGAAGATCCAAGATTGATAAGGGGCAAACGCCTCCGAAAAACTGAACCTCTTCCACTTAGATATCAGTCCACTGACCGGGAAGATCTTTATTATCACGAAGCGCAAACTTCCTCACTCTCTTGGGGTGCCGATGAATGGTTTTGGACGGAGCTGTGTCTGGTAGACACATACTTTGGCTCTGAAGAGAAGCATAAGACTTACTTCACTGGGTGCCAGGAAGGTGATGGATTCGACCCTCCCGTTGGGGGTAGATTCCGAATGACTACACCGCGATTCGATCCAAGAGAATACTTTCTTCTCAAGCTTCGATTTCGGACCGAACAAGCAGTCACGGAGTACAGTGCACTCATAGAAACCTTCAACAGCAGAATGGATGAATATGTGAGATACTCGTACATCAATTCAGACGCCCGTTACTAAATAACCTCTAAAGGCACGAACGATCAGACGCGTCTTCGAAGACGATAACAAGAGGACGAACACAAGGACAATAAGCGATGTCATCGAAACAGCACAGCTTTTCATTGACGGCATCAGCGGTATAACCGACGCTTGGGATACATTCAGTCGTACTGAGCTTGTGATCTTCACTACATATCTACCTGAGAGATCTACCTGGCCAACATACATCAACATCATCATTCGAAATGTTGCAGAACTTGATCGATTACGCAAATTACTCCTCATCAGGCGAGACCACTTCAAGTTCAAACTCGATAGCGTGAGTTCAGAGGTGCCTCAATGCACACCCTTTAGTGCCTGCACACTGACCCAATAACTAATACCATTTAGCTCCACACTGTCTCCAGCCTCAGTCAAACCTATACAGGGAATCTCCAAGCAGAGACGGCAGTGAACCAGGGCAACGACCTAAAGATACTTACCAAGATGACAGTCGTAAGTCATGTCAGATCAGCCCCCTGTACTTGTATAGATACAGCGACCTCAATAACTACATCAATAGCTAATCACAATGAGCACAGTACGTCGCCTTTCCACTACTCTTTACAACAGCACTTTTCAGCATGGACTTCGTTAGACCGAAGTACCCATGGGCTGTGTTCTTCGGAGTGTTAGCGCTGATATCGTTGGTGAATTATATGATTGCTTCGCCGCGGAGCTCAAAGAGAGTGTGGACGAAGTGTAAGGCGTGGCAGGATGCAACGGTATGGAAGTTGAAGCATAATTGAATACAACATATTGCCATGCACCTGGGACTGATGTACTAGGGCATACCGTAATCTGAATACACGCTGTTCGAGGTCTCAAGAACTCAGGACGAAGATGCTCGCTTCTGCAATCATATCTTGGATGCAAAATCCATCCTAAAAATATACGCTGTGTTTCACATTGTACGATATAGATGTGGAACATGGCGGATATCTCTAAGGTATCACGCAGAAAACATGAGCTTCTTGGTGGGATCACCAATACTATCAGTGTTAACAAGAAATTGTGGCAACATACCCATGTTCCGTTGTCGAATATCGAACTTGCTCTAGATCACCACACAGAGGACGAAGCAGGTTTGACTTTACGATTCGATTCGTTTTATATAGGTATCCACATATGCTGCGTGGTATCCTGAGGGTATCATGAGGGATCTGCCTGCCCAAATATGCACACTTTGAAATGGTTGACAGTGAGTAAAAAAAGGCTCAGAAACCAAGAGAACGCGCGCGCGCACAAAACCACAAACCAAAACATTCCTGGCGCCCCAATCTGTGTCCTCATGTATGTGTAAGAGGTAGGAGAATGTCATGGTCGTCATACCTCCAATCGCTCAACTCGATCGCTTCTGCCACTCGCATTATGCCAATAAGAATAGTTTGTTGTGTGGAGGTCGGTGGGAAGCCTTTCAGTCGAGCAAATGCCGCCGTCGCTTTCGTGATGGATTTTCCGTAAACGCCGAATTGTGGAGAGAGATCCGAAACCCCGATGCTGCTAAGTTGATATGTGCGAAAGAAAAATCCGACGTCGCTATCGTCGTGCGCCGCCTACTTCGACTGAGTGTGATGTTCGTTCAAATTGGAGCTTTCGTCTCTTGTTCGCCATGTTTCCCCCTGGTGTGTCTTCGCCTCCGGTTGAGTCTGCGTACTCATCTCCGAAGCCCTCACCGTAGCCTTGGAATGCGGCGTCGGTGTAGCCGCGCTTTGAGCTAGAGCGCTCCGGTCTCACTGCACCTCTGTTCATGTGGCTGGTTGGTGTCGGTGCTGACGATGTGAAGGAAGTTGCTCGCTGTGGTGGTATGTCTTGTGGTTTTGGCTTTGCTGTATCGTCTGTACCGAGATAGGCCTTGTATTTGGCAGCTTCTGCGCTGGGAAGAGTGCCCGGTGCAGTGCCTGCGAATGCGTCGTCGAGCAGTCTGCTGAAGTCTGAGCTCAATGCTGTACCGTCTGGTGTCAATGCCTTCTTCTCAGGCTCTCTATTCTGCACGTGTTGCGACTGCCAAATTTCTTCGGGCATCAGCAGCAGGTTCCGGAAGACACCGTCCATCTTGGTGGCCTTTGGCTTGCCGGCAATCTGCATCTTCTTGATCTGACCCTCGTAGGACTTGCGAAGCTTGTTAATCTTCTCGCCTGTTACCGGGTCATTGCGCGCTACTGAACTGGCGAGCGGCGTGAGCCTATATAGTGTAATGAAATTTTCCGAGGGGTGCGGCCGCGCTGTCTCCAACTTGTCGTTGTTGAGTTTGAACAATTGGCTGCCGCTGATGCCTTGGGCAGCTCGTAGTCGGCCGTCTTCGGTGTATGGTGATTCCCCTTGCCGGTTGTGGTTGGACAGCCTGTGATCAGCCAACCGTGTAGTGTCATCGTCTAGGCTCTCTTCCATCGTCGCATCACCATCGCTATCGATGTTGGCACTGGACATGAAGCCTGCAGTGCTCGCCGGGGTGGGAAAGGGATGTTGGTTCGATGCCGATGTTGCCGACTGTGAGAGGGAGTGAGACATTGGCAGCGAGGACTGCGGGGAGCGGTCCGACGACGCCGTCGAGTTAGTCGGGGCGAAACCTCCATGAGATTGCGAATTCATCGAGGAGTAGGGCGGTGAGGTGGGCGTGCGAGGGTGGATGGGCGTCTTTGTCGGCTGGCCGCTCGCCTTGGCAGCGACGTCAAAGGGCGGGCTGGCGGGTGAGAATCTTCCTATCGAGTCCAAACGTTGCCGTTTTGCGCTGTGATCCGACATAGAGAGCGTCTTCGGGGGTGGAGAGGGAGTGGAAAGCTCGTAGGCGGGTGCTGGGGGGCGTGCAGGAGTGGTGAGAGTAGGGCTCGTAATGAAGCGCTTGGCGTCCTCCGCGCGGGTCGACCGCGGCAGAAAGATGGGCGCTCTACTCGATAGTGCGCATTCGAAGAGGGCAGGCGTCGGCGCTGGCGATGATTCGGGTGCGGCAGATGTGCGGGGACGTGGTGGTGGCGGGATGCGCAGGTGGGTTGGAGGCGGCTGGAGGTGCGAAGATGTGAAGGAGATGATGGGGTTGACCGGCGGTTTGGGCTCAGCGCTGTCTCGACTGCTTACGTGACACCCCGGGGCCATCTAAAACCGCGTTTCTTGTTAGGCTGTGTCAACCATTCATCGCCGCTGCCAAACACAACAATAACAACAAAGCCGCCGTCCGCGCTTCAATGCGTGCACCGCTCGTCTTTGACCACCATGGATGGCAATAGGCCGCGCCCCGGTGGCTCTGCTTCGGCCGTCCCAGCAAATGCAGCGCAGCCTGCGCGTTCCGAGGCATCGAATCCACCCGCGCCGAGCAATGCGCCCAAGGTCCAGCAGCCGAAACCCCAAGCACTGCCATCGCGATCTGGTCCCAGCTCCATCCTAGTCTCGCCGCGACAGAAAGGCAACCCCATCCTGAACAGTGTGCGCTCAGTCGCATGGGAGTATTCAGACATTCCTGCCGATTACGTCGTTGGTGCCACAACATGTGCTCTCTTCCTGTCGCTCAAGTACCACCGTCTGCACCCCGAATACATCTACAACCGTATCCGAGACCTGAAGGGCCAGTACAGTCTCCGCATCCTTCTTACTATGGTCGACATTGAAAATCATGAAGATCCACTGAGGGAGTTGTCTAAGACGTCATTAGTCAACAACGTCACCGTCATGCTTTGCTGGAGCGCACAGGAAGCTGGCCGCTATCTAGAGCTCTTCAAGACATTTGAAAATGCAGCGCCAACCAGCATTCGCGCTCAGCAAGCAGGGACCTATTCGGAGAAGATGGTTGAGTTCATCACTGTACCACGCAGTATAAACAAGACGGATGCAGTTGGCTTAGTATCCAACTTTGGCAGCATCCGCACTGCAATCAACGCCGGGCCGGAGGAAATTGGTCTGATAGCAGGGTGGGGTGACAAGAAGGTTCAGCGATGGTGCAACGCCGTCAGGGAACCCTTCAGAGTCAAGAAGGCAGCAAAGCGAACTGTCGGACAGGATAGCAACCGAGCAAACATGTCACGCGACATCTCCATGGCAGAAGACGAAATTCAGACGCCTTCAGCAGCGGATGCTGGTGACACAGCACACCGTAGAGTGGATGATGCTGGACCTCTTGCCATGGAAATGGCAAGAACCGCGCCTTTTGCAGCTTCAGGGTCAGATGCAGACCGACGACCGGACCATCGTCCCGCTGAGGATATCGATAAAGACGATGAAGAGGCAATGCGCGAGGCAGAGCTAGGTCGTGTCTCGGACGGTAATGAGGCTAACTCATCCGCTCCAAAGCCAGTGAAAAGGAAGCAATTAGAAGAGGAGAATGTGAGCGAAGGCGTCATGGCCGCGCTCAGCAAGTTGAGGAAGCAGTGAACATAAGTTTGGATATAGAACCAAAATATAGTATGTGACTCGCTGCCCAAACACGACACTTGTGTATTCCTTCGAACGGCTGACGTTTAAATCTTGAACTTCGTCTTTTTGAACGCGCTGTGATTACCACGTTATGGTTTGCTACTTCAATCGCGAGTCTTTTCCATGCGTAATCGTTGTTATGTGCTCTCGCCTCATTGGTGACCCTAGTCCGGTTCCCTCACTGGAGCCTGCTTTGTTTGCCCACATGCACTGCACTTGGCAGCAAACACCAGCCTTGCTCTTCCAACTCCGCCACCAATACTTCAATATAGGCACATCGATACACCTTGTCTCTGTCATTGCAAACATGTCAAAGGTTAGCGCTGTGAAATTATATCAGAGGCCTAGCAGCCGCTAAACAGTACAGAATCCAACTACCCATAAGATGGGTCTCTTTAATAGACTACCCGCCGAACTGCAAATCGAAATCTTTGACTATCTCCCAGCTACTGACGTCAAGGCCGCGAGAGCTGTCAGCAGAACCTTTCGGGACAACGCCACGCCTGCGCTGTTTCGCAGCATTGTTGCTTGTGCAAGATACCAAGCGTTGGGCGCCTTTCAGAATGTAAGTGATCTTCGTATACGAGAATCCATGTAACACGATTCATATCCTGAAGGTGTCTGTAGACTGTCATGTCGCTGCCAAGTCAGCGCAACGCACAGTAGAGATCTTCAGGGGACCTTTCGGTATCAGGCACATGGAACTTGCGAATATAAGCTAAACTCGTAATCCTAATGCAGGTCTCATTACATTCGGTGTACTCAGGCTATGTTAGAGAGGTCATCTTCGATGGAACACTCTACGATGAGGTGCTCGCGAAAGATCATCGCTGTTACCAACGATCCGAGCAGAAGACAGACGAGTTCAACTCGTCATCCTTCTACGCAATGCGAACCAGGTATGTAACGCGATGATATACGAAGGAGCTCATTTTTCTTTTCTCACTAAGTTCTACTCCCTAAGCTCAAGCCTTTCTCTATCAAAACTACAATAGATATATCTACGAATACCTTTAGGGTCGGGCTCCCCGTTCTAGCAAGCAGCACTAACAGATCGCCAGATGGAAACGATACCATGATTTATACGAGGAGCAAGAAACTATGAATGTCGATGGCGTTCTTCTGCAATCAATTGCACGCGGCCTTGGAAACATGCAGAACATCTCATCGATCGTGTACTCGCCGCACCAACACGCTATACCCGTGGAACGCAAGACACTGCGTGACTTGCTCACAAGAGGAGCTCTTCCTGGCAGACTCGGCAAGAACCGCACTACTAGTTGGGATCATCCTTTCCGCCAACTCATCGGCGCTGTCTTCATGTCAGAGTATGCTGGAATTCGACAGCTCACGATAGAAGCACCTCGCGAAGGACATTCATGCACAGAGCTCTCCTTAGAAATGTTCAGGTTTCCAGAATCAAACGATCTGCTCGCTGTGAAACACCTCTTTCGACGTTTAGTCAGACTGAACTTCAATTTGTCTATCCTTAACACCCAAACTAGGGATTTACACCCACCCACCAACATCGATCCACCCACCCGGCAGCTCGAAAATCTGGCCAAAGTTCTTGGAGCCGCTCAGGATCTGCGACATCTTTCCTTCGGAATCTTGGACTGGAAACATCTTCATGAGCCCATGTGGGACGGCGGATCGATTCCAGAAGAACGCTCCATCGTTGACTTTATTGGTCTTGGAGCGACATGGCCAAAGCTACGCTCGTTGAGGCTTGAAGGAATTTACGCCAGGGAACAAGACTTGTGTCAAGTGATCACCCGACACAAGGAGACCTTGAGATCTGTCATCTTTGCCAAGTCCACTCTTTGTACGGGTTTGTGGATTGAAGTGGTGAATGAGGTCGTTTTCAACGCATCTATGATTACTACGTTTGTGTTAGACAACGTCAACGAGGATGCTGGCGCGTGGTCTGCACAAGCGGATGCTAGAACAAAGCGTATGTTAGGCTATGAAGGCCACCTTGTTGTGGAGAAAGATGGAGATCGTGAATTTGTACAGGAAAGATCAGCTCTTTGTTTCATTCATATTTACTGACGCTTCACAGGTCGATACCAACCCAGACAAGCTCTCAGTAAAGAATGACCGGCATTTAGTGCGGTGGGAGTGAGATACTGCTGTAATGAAGATTGCCTCAGGTTAGTGGGATGATTCAATGAGCGACAAGGGCGTTGCAGTGATACCCACAGGGAGTGGTTGAGGTGCCACAGGCTGTTTACGATAAAGTTGATTGATGAACACATGTAGCCAAAAATTATCTAGTAATAAGTATCCTTTCTTTTGTGTGGCCTTTGTAGTACCGAAGAGATATACAAGAGCTTAGCATATAACGCGAGTTGAAGTCACAGACGCTAGATACTCACAGGCATCCACACAAGCGAAGACGTTGAAATCAGACTGTCGCCGTTTGTAACCATCATCCTCTCAGCCGCTCGTCGCGTCTGAGAAAACCAGCATAACCAAGGATTAAACCAACTCGATAAGTTTAGGAACAAATAGGATTATGGAGTTGCATCTAATTGCCTTGGTACTAGGGAGCAAACGTTGGCTTCTCCTCACAGTAAGTAACACTATCTCTTTCGTCCATCCCTCTTCGTCAACACCGTCAATGCACCCAACCATCTTCTGCCTTACATTTACTCTTCTCCGCTTATCTGCTCCTCGAAACCCATGACCCTACCTCCAGCCCAAACGTAATCTGTCTTACCCATCTTCGCCTGACTATTTACTACACGTCGCTCCTGCCACGCCCTTCGCCCATAGCTTTTCACCGCAGAGTAATTACGACTTTCATCGGCGCGGTGGTGTATTCCTTCAGAGAAAGCTCGCCAGGTTAATTGTACGCGGATTTTGAACGACAAATCGCCATGAGTGGGCGTACCAATATTGATGGATGGATCAGGGGCTCACTCTGGTGACCGGAAGAGGAAGAGAAGACAGAACTTGAGGCTTTTCGATAAATTTACCAAGGTTAGGTAGTTATGCGAGTGTTGAAAGTGGCGATAGTTTGTTTGTAGGAGCGTTTGTGGGTGCGATGAGAGGGGTTCGTGAGCATGGTATCGGTGCGAAACTTTGGAAGAGAAGATACGGGGCCATTCTTGGAGGCGAAGAATCAATCTCAATTGCGGATTGAGTCGTGTTTGATATCTTGAGATATGTGGAGAGTCATAGAATTGATATTTTCATGTAGGGAAGAAGAGAAGAGACTCGATGCGAGACGGCATAGCGAGTATGACGCGAGAACATATGCTATGCTGAGCCATGGCTGTGCTAGAAGGAATGAGACAAGTCTGTCACGAAATGCACGATGGATGAACGCTGTAGTGTTGGTTTGAAAGATTGGTATTCAACCCCGGTACGCTATCTCAGTACCATGTGCTATATGAATACACAAGCAGCAGATCGAACTATACGATAAGAACCCGTCACTAAAGGCCGATTAGACCCTCTCGACTCTCTCCGAAGCACCCTTAGCGTCGTTGTCAACGACAACGCTGTGGTGCCTTGCCGGGTCTTTCTCCTCAATGGCAGCGCCCTCAACAACGTGGTTCTGGCCACCAAAGATGGCGTCCATCTCCTCGAGACTAACCTTCTTAGTCTCGGGAACGAAGAACCAGACAAAAGCTGCAAGCAGAATGTTGATAGCAGCAAACATGTAGAAAGCATAGAAGCCCTCGTTCTTGAGGAAGACGGGGAAGAACTGCTGGACGATGGAGTTGACAACGTTTTGGGTTTGCGAGCACATGCCAACAGCTTGGGCACGGATGTTCATGGAGAAGATCTCCGCGGTGAAGATCCATACCGTTGCGCCCCAAGAAGGCTTGTCTGAAATGGATGTTAGTAGATGTTCTTGTTAAGATGGTAGTGGGAGAGAGGGTGACATACAGAATAGAGCGAACAGGAACATGAGGAATACAATCGCGATACCAACGGGCTCAGTCTTTGCGCCGCTGGGAAGCGTAGGTGTCTGAGTCTCCACAGTAGCGGCGATAAGCATACAAACGCCCATGCCGATACCACCAACGATGAACAAGAACTTGCGTCCAAAGCGGTCGACAGTCCAAGTAGCATTGAGTGTGAAGAGAATACTGAAAGTGGCATTCAGAGCGTTGATCAGGGAGATAGTGTCGGCGCTCGTGAAGACCTTCTTGTAGATGATGGAGCTGTAGGAGTTGAGTGTGCCCTGTCCAGTAATCTGCTGACCACCGTTTACAATCATTGCAATGTACATGCGCTTTCTGACAGACTTGTCCTTCCACAGAGCAGAGAAGCCGGATGAGATAGCCTCGGCTTCGAATTCAATAGCCTCTCGGATGGTAGTAATCTCATCTTCGACATCTTGCTCGGTGGCACGGACGCGACGGAGGGAGCGGCGGGCCTTTTCGTAGTTGCGGTTCTTCTGAACGTACCAACGGGGAGACTCTGGGATGAAGAAAACCTGGGAGAGGATGATGATGGGTACCATCATCTGGAAAATGACCACCATCTTCCAGTCCCACTCGCCGAGTTTCTTAGGGTTCTTGGAGGTACCGAAGGAGATCCAGTATGCAATAAAAGAGCCAACGGAATAGAACATCTGCCAGAAGGACATGATCTTTCCACGGATCTCAGAAGGAGCAAGCTCTCCGATATAAATAGAACCAGCAGTAAGAGCGAGACCTTGTCCTATACCGATGAGGACACGACCAGCGATGAAGACACCGATTTGTCCACGAGGAGCGAATGTTTGCATAATGGTAGCGATGATGACACAGATGGAACCAGCAGCCATACCGACTCGTCGTCCAGCGAAATCAGCAAGAGGACCAGCCTATACAAAGCGAAGTTAGCAAAGAGGTGTGGGTTTATTGGTAGCATCGAAGATGAGACATACCATGAAGAAACCAGCTACAACAGCACCAACAGTATATGATGTGTTGATGGCGCCGATGATGTTGGGTCCGGGGTTGTCGTAGTAGGCGATCCAGTGCTTCGAGTTTTGCAACGCGTTGAAGACGGACGCATCGTAACCGTAGAGCACCATGCATGATGCTGCAACGAGCGAGATGTACCAGTTGTACACTCTAGTCTTGTCGACCATCTTGACGGTAGTCTCTTAGGGATTCTCCTGAAGCGAAAGTAACGATAGTGATCGACTTCGTAGTGATTGACGAAGGCTTCCGGCTCGATCTTCGCAACGATACAGCGAGAGATTCGTAGAGCTCTGGAGTGGAGAGCAAACAACGGAGACTGCGATGAGCATATATACATACTACATGGGATGCCACCCCGGGGAGGGCTATCTTGCCCCATGTCAGGTCCCATCAACCCCATGGGCTCGGAGACGCCAGTTCCAGCATCTGGGATCCGAAGCCAACGCCGCTACGAAACGCCTCCATCCAGAATATCACCACGAATCAAGACGCCCAGCGCGCCCTGAAAGCTTGCTCTAGTGCCAAATGTATCCACGCCCAGCCTTCCAGTCTCCGTAGTCCCTAAATCTGGGGAATCTGGGGCTTGGGACTTCAGCGTCGACGGAGGGATTCTGCTCATCTGATGGACGGGGAGGCGTCCTGTAGTTTTTCCACGAATGGGCGAGATCGAGCTAAGTGTTGAGGCGCCGTTGTTTTGAGGAGAAGCGAGCCGGATTGATGCCGAGATGGTGTTTAGTGCACCATCTAGCCCGTGAGCAGCTAGGTTTGCCGGCGATAATGTCAACATCGGGTAGATTTGCTCGTGGTCGCAAGCATGCCAAGTCTCGACACAAGGAAGACGCGGCGAAACAAAGCTTTTGGCTGCCGTCTGGGTTCTCTTATTTCTGTGTTTTTGATGCTTAAAACCACCGAAGTAGTTCATCAGAACCACAAGTGCGGTGTCGCTGCCACAGTTTCAGCGTTGCAAAGCATCTGGCCATTCTGGCCAGCCTCATGGTGACGGTGAAGTACAGAGATCGCATGATTCGTGCTAGAGAGCATCGCTTGATAGCCAGCTGTGGAGTTCGGGTGGGTCGGCACACTGGTTGCGTGTGGGCGGTGACCATATCGCATCCTTTGGAGACCACGCGGGGAGCCAGCGCTGGAACGAGCTTAAGCCAATAATTCTTCTACATGAAGTCCACGGAGAACAGCACGCGACGCGCTTGTATCTCTCGGTGATGAACTGTTGCAGATGCATATGATATGCCGCGGTATCCCCGGTCATAGATGAATCTCATCAGCGCTGAGATGAGCTCCAGCCGTGACACCTAGCGCGTAACGACATATGATATGATCACGTGCCCATGCGCCACATGGGGCGATACCTGTGGCTATGCACATCCCACTTTTCTTAGGCGTCGAGACCCTTTCCCACCGCCTGCTACCGCCTAACGTTTTCGACGACTGCGAGTAAATTTCTCAACCTTCACCTACACACCGAAGACCGGACCAACAAGACAACCGACTTCTACAAGATGCCTTCAGGACAAGGAGGTGAGCGCCATAACTTCTGCGCAAACTGATGCGGGGTCAAAGGCTGACAAAATACCACAGCGGGTACCAACCCCATCCACAACAAACAAAAGAAGAAGAAGGCCGTCGAGCTCGACGAAGATGACATCGCATACAAGGCGAAGCTCGCTGCTGGTGCGTACCGCCCATGTTCTGCTACCAGGAGCCTAGAGCGCCACGGGCTGCGAAGCGCCACTACAAGAACAAGGACTACGACAGACGTGCTAACGACGTACAGAGAAGAAACAGCGTGAGGATCTAGCCAAGACCGTTGGCAAGGGCAAGGGACCCCTCAACACCGGTTCCCAGGGAATCAAGAAGTCGGGCAAGAAATAAGCGCTGGTCATACCAACGGCCGACCGGGCGACGAGAGAAAGGCGATGCGATACGACGACGATTTGACATGAAAGATACCACAAGCCAGGAGTCATGACTTGGCAGGGCGCTCACATACACATCACATTGATGCATGGGAATAAACTATCAATACTTTTTACGTTCTTGGTGACCCTGCTAGGTGTTCCCACTATCTCCCAAGCTACAAACTTGCTTCTCAACTAAACTTACCCTTCGGATGTGTTCTATCTCCTTCCTCCCTTCGTGTTCGCTCCTTTCAAGTCAAACACAATTTCTGCATTTCCCCAGGCAACTCTTTCCCACTCCACCTGCGTCAAAAACCCACTATCTCTGAGTTCATCCATCAACTCCTTTCCCCTCTCTTCAAACGGGTAATTACTCACATACAGCACTCTATCTACTGGTATCTGTTCTAGCAGCGCCCTTAGACTTGACATGTCTTGCGCATCTGCCGTCGTCAGGTAGATGTTGTGCTGCCAGACATCCAGAAAACTTCGCTTAGGTTTATCCGCAGCAGGAATAGTGGTGAGGAGCATTTCGATGCGTGGAATGAGAGAGGGAAGAACGCCGGGATGTGCAAGTATGAGACGTAGACCAGGGTGTCGGTCGAAGACGGAGCTGAGGTAAAGGTGTAGCAATGGGAGAGGAGAAGTAGCATGCGACGTATGAACGTGTGTTAAGAGGGGCGCGTATACGGTAGAAGGAAAAGTGTGTTGGTAGTCCGTCATCTGTACATGTCAGTCTACATCTTGTTCCCTTTCTCTCTTGTCTGGTTTCCGAGATATAAGCTGCAACATACCTCAGATCCTACCGGCCACGTCTCCCTTAATAAAATCGGCACTCGATACCTTTCTGCAGCATCCCAGAGCTCCTCCCATTCCACACCCTCCAGTTCAGTCTTCCTACTAATCCCAATACAACCCCCAACAAACTTCATCTTTCCCACACACCTCGCCAACTCTCTTGCTGCTTCTTTGCCTTCTAAAGGCAACATGCTCAATACAGAGAACTTTTCCGAGTTCATGATAACCGCTGCATGCATCGCGTCGTTGATCCTGCTGCATGTCTGCGGCGCAGCGACAAGGGGAACATGACTGATGATTTGTTTCGACTGGCCAAGGAAACGCATGTCTTTTACCCGGCCGGGGCCTATGTTGCGCAGTTTGGTGAGAGTTGGTGGGGGTATCAGATGAAGGGAAGGTTGGGAGGGGGATGTTGGTGGGGATGTAAAGGCCAGGGTCGGTGTGAGGTGGGATTCTAGGGTTGCGATCAGGGTTACTGGTGTTGTTGCAGCCATTGTGTTCTCCTTCCTCTTGGCGATCGATGGTAGGTGATGAATGAGGTGTGCAAAATGATAGGTTGTAGAGATGTTGTAAGGACTGGGACAAGGATCAAAGAACTATCAATCAGGCGGTCATTCTAAGCTTGTGAGCAAGGGAGGCACGCAGCTCAAACTAGATAGTTGCGAACCATATCGGCGGGGTAAGACTACCACCTGCCTGTGAGCGTAAAGTCAGTGACTAGCCTCGTTGCTGCCAACTGTTGGCAGACGCGATTTCGCTGCTGCATGGTACATTGCTACGTCACTCTTTCTGAACATGCTCTGACAGAATCTCCAAGGTACCAAATCGTTGCAGTAGGAACACATTGGTAAGGATAAAGTGTATGATTAATAGATAGTTGTGTACTAAACTATGTTGTCGTTGAGATCAACAAATGTCTTCCGAGAAAGATGACCTTGGACACTTTGGTGCTTGATTGCCCAATGTTCCAACCAATAATTTCCGTCGCGACATTCCCTCGTAGGAAACACTCATCGTGGCTGTGTAATGATGATGATGATAGTGATGGGGCGCAGGTGGTGCGTGGCGCTAGTGACCATGCTATGGAATGTCGTGATAGTGACGTCCGAATAATCGTCCGGTCGTCACCTAAGCGACGACAACTGACGGTTCGGCGCTTGTCAGGCGACAGACTAGTCTCTTCCAACGCTTGGTCGAGAAAGTCTTGGTGATGTCGTTATGGTCTGATAACCGTGGTTCGTGAATTCGTAATAGATGTGTAGAATTGGTCCAAGCGATGGACGTGTCGGCTTTCATTCATGAAGTTCGGCGACCCTTCTTGCTGCCAATAGTAAAAGCCCGTTTGAGCTTGCTTTCGGTGTTGATGGGTGATGTTGGACTTGGTGTCGAGCTGCTTCCTGACCGACGGGTCTCCGAGCTGCCGGATGATTGGGAAGAGGACCTCTTGCGGCTCTCTTCTGCGAGGATGTCATCCAGTGAGACGTTGAGATGGGGATGACTAATTGGGACCTCTTCGAGGTTTTCGACAAAGCGTGATGCCATCGTATTAAGAGTGGTATTGAAGTATCTTAGTGTGTATATATGTGGTCGGTGTGTAGATGGATGGATATGAGGAGGATGTAGATGTTTATAGCACCGGCAAACTTGTATAGACGTGGATGGCTACTATGATCTACAGGTGATGTGTCGCGGGAGGCGGCTTGTGATAAATGGTCCAGACCTGTGTGGCAATGTCCGGATATAGTATACCAAGGTGGTAAGCTATAGCGAAGACCGGAAATAGGTAGTAACGAGGGCGGAAATGTGAATGCTAGAAGCGATAGTAGACGATATATGCCGAAATATAGAACAAAGACTGGGTAAGCAAGGGCGGCGAAAGGTTTTTAAACTCATCCAGGGCGTGTGTGGATGAGCATGTGGACAGGTCCGTGTGTCCACGGCAGAAAGAGGCCAGGGACCAACGATTCAGGGTCTGTCCCGTCGATCGCGAGGCCTCGATGCATAATAACGGCGGCGCTAAGGCCAGGATATGACGTACCGACGCGTTCTGGACAGCGTTCCGCTGGCAGCCACTCGGTTTTGGTGTGGCCATAACGGGCGCGTAACCGCGTGCGACAAGTGTTTCTTGCACAGTTCCATGGTTGCGAGTCCCCGAAAATAGGTACGCTCGCAGGACTGTCACAGCTGTAAGGGTCGTCCAAGCCGCTTGGAAGTGTCAAACCAGACTTCGGACGTCTTCGCACGAGTGCTGGAAGGATTGCGCATCCGACCCGCCGCCTCTGCCCAGTCATGCGGAACCAAACAGCGGCGACCTTGGAAGCCTTGGGGTTATTCTTGAGCAGCACGCGCAACCCTTTCGCCACAGCTTGCGAACATTGGCTTTCGGGGTCAAATAAACTCTCGACTAGTACGTCTAGGATCAGCACGATCACCAGGCAGTCGCGAGACAAGACCGAATCCTCGCACTTTATCCATATCACCTATATTGAAAACGTGTCCGCACGACGGGATCCCGCCTGCAGTGTTCTCGTCGGGTCCGCTGCGCCCATCGCGTGTATGGCCGGCCTCTGACGTAGGACGAGAGCAATTCAATACCACAGCCACCGCTTTGGCTATAGTTTCCAAAACACGGCCTTGTGTGTGCGGCTGCCGGCTGCGCTTGCCAGCGAACGATTGCGACAGCTGTACAAGCTCCAACGAAAATGCCTGAGCTAGATGTGCGGTGTACGCGAAGTGCCATACTCGGCAACTAGTCTCGACATCATCGTGCAGGGTCCTCGTTCAAAACGTCCGGCGCCCGAACCCTTGTGGGTCTTTGACAACGGTAGACCCCAAACTTCTGCACCATCCGTCATGTCAAATGGTGCACGGAGCCGACTTTCGATCTCAAGTTGCAGATATAAGCGGATACACAACGCTAGCCGCGTGTGCAATCTGCTAGTCTTGGGCACCAATAGTTCTCATCATGTATACAACGTCGTGGCCAGCATACGACTACACTGGCGTGGTGGAACATATCGCAAGCCCATGAAAATTGCGTATGCTACCGGACAGCTTGGAGTTTGGGATAGAGTAGTGAGGCTCTAAATGAGCTGGCCTAATGACGACTTTCTCTGCATCATCTTAAGTGTGTATCGGCCCACGCGGATGGTAAGTTTTTACCAGCGTCCACCGCGGCCACGTCCACCCCTTCCGCCCCTCCCACGACCTCTGTGCCCTTGGCCACGCCCACCCCCTCTGTGTCCACCTCCGCCTCTCCCCCCACCTCGATTGGACCGCTGTTGTTCCGGCCTCGGACCATTTTGCGCTAGTTGTGCCCGCTCTTCATCTGACGCATGAAATATATTCGGGATCTGCAGTAAATTGCAGAATGACTGTGTGTGCGGATTACTGTACTCTTGCGGGGACTCTTGGACATGAATGCCTAAAGCAGGCTCGTATACCGGCGCAGTCCGTGTGAAATCCTCTGGGATGGTCATCTTGTTGGTAGCAATGATATTCTCCTCAACCCAACTCATCTCCTTCTCCACAAGAGGTCGGTAAAAAGCATCACCTTTGTCTGCAGGGACTTGCGCGTGTGGATCCCCCACCTGGAGGTGATCGGCAAAGACGCGAGTAATGGCAAGCCATTCTTTGTCGTACTGTAGCTGCAAAGGTCTTTGCAATTCAGCAGGTGAATGTGGCTCTATTTCCAACAACTGGAGAAAGCTTCGCTTGGGCAAGCACTTGTCAAGTGCGAGAAAGTTGGTTGTCTTATTCGTAATGTCTTCAGGGAAGGGCAAAGTCTGTTTTGGCTCAAAGGTTGAGCGTGAGAAAGATTCTGGTAGAAGACTCCGAATATCATCAGGGATTTGGGATTCGCTCTCCGTCATGTTAGATTTGGGGAGCTCCTTTGGCTCTGCGACTGGTACAGGCGGCGCCTCATCGTCACCCAAATCCATATCGAGATCAATCTCCGCATCATTCTTGGGCGCTGGGATGGGCTCCTCGTCTACGTCCTCCAGATCGATCTCGCCGTCATTCACGACCGTCGGAACAGGGTTGTCGGTATCGGGCGCCATATTCGGAGCTTCTGCGTGGTTCCATACAGCTGGAAACTTAGCATGCATATGGGCGCTGAACCAGTGGGGTGGTCGCAAGTGCTCGAGGACGTCCTTCGCGGCAACGCTACCGAGAGTGCCGTCCTTGGCTTCTTGTTCAAAGTCTGGCTTCCAGCTAAAGAGTTGTCGGTAATTGCCTTTCCACTCCATACCACGCGGCCAGTCATGGCTTAGACCGATATCCACCTGTGTGCGTATCTGAAGCAGTTTCCGCACGTCAATTTCCCGAACGTGGTAAATGCTCCTAACGTCATCACTATTGTAGGGCAAGCGCTCGTAGTGCGGCTTCTTGTAGTTGTAGCCTTTCCAAATACCAGACAACCCAGCAATGCGCAATGGCCCTAGCCGTATTACGTTGGCGGCACCCATGTAATATATCTTCGGGGCGGCCCAGCCGCCGTAGTATAGCTCCCACATGTAGTTGCTCGCTTCGTGGTTACCTCCAATAAATATAGTGAGGTACGGGGCTGTGCGCAAGCCTGAATAGTATTCGTGAAAGTCGTGCATCGCATAGTACTTGGAAGGCATCGATACTGCCTTGAGATCGGACGCATTTCGAACAGCCTACGAAGTCAGTCGCTGGGTGGACATTGTAATCGGTTTGCATACCTGAAAGTCGCCGCCGATGATCAAGAGATCAACATCTGGCCAACCTTTCAATTCACACGCTTTTGCCACAGATGCATAGATTTCGTGTAGCACTCCGTGACCGCAACCTTCTACTGCTATACGCAGGTTCTGCTGTTCTATTAACTCTGGGGCGGCCATACTCAATGAAGTTCGTAACCTGGTAGTTAGTAAGAACGAGCGTTATCAGCAACGCGACTACAGAGATGCTGGTGAAATCTTTGTTGCGCAGTGCATAGGCGCAGAAGTCACAATATACTCGCAGAGTATTTGCTGCAGTGGAGGCTGTTGTCGAAGAAAGTACGATCGAGGGACCTGCAGCACTAGCGTCGGAGGTCGGAGTTGCGATAAACTAGCGAGCACGTGGAGATACTGGACCTGCAGGAAGCTTTCCAAGACCTGCACAGAGATCATTTAGGTCCTCTCAACACATGGCTTCAGCAGACCAAACTCAACTGAGGGCGAAGTTCCTCCAAGAAGCTGCTTATATCCTCGCAGTTCCATCGCCAACGACGGCAGCGTTTCTGGGCAATGCACGCAACAAGCTGATTGAAGATGCTGAAGTCGACATATCGAGCAAAGAATCGGATGCTTTTCGTCGAAGTGTTTGCGGCGCATGTGGGAATGTAATGATTCCAGGATGGTCATGCAAGGTCTCGAACAAAGGAAACCAGAGAAGTATTGGCAACAAGTCATCGGAGCTTGAAAAGAGTATCTGCTATACCTGCTTGCGGTGTCAGCGAGAGACACATCAATCGCTTCCACGAGAGCGAAGACGTCGCAAATTGACCGAGAGATTACAGCCGCCAGTGGACACGGATCCAATCTCGGAGGCAACGACTACTACCAACAAAGAGGAAAATGTCGCTGCAAAGACTATAAACGCGAGCAGCAAGCAAAGACAAAAGGCACGAAGGGGCGGCTTGCAAGCTATGCTTGACAAGAAGAAGACGCAGGACTCGGGCGCGGGCGGGCTCGATTTCATGGACTTTGCGCTATAAGCTCCGTAGGGCTGACTGAAAGCGCACCTGCATGGAAGGGTCTAGCGACACCCCGCTATGCAAGCGCGGGGCTCAAAAATTTCCAGACGTTATGTCATCACAACTTGCGAAAGTTAATCCAGTTACACGCACGATTCCTCTATTCAACACCACCTACAACGTCAATAATCGATTGCAAATATGGCACAGCAACAGAGTCTCGCGAAGGACCTCTTCGAGGATATGGGCCGCAAGGTCGCAGAGGCGAGCGCCCAACAAGGAGACGACGACACAAAGGTCGTCGATGAGATTGAGAGCATGTGTATGAACTGTCATGAAGATGTAGGCGCGTTTGCAAGACAATGGTCGACTCGGCTGACACTCTCAAGGGTACTACGCGCCTTCTCCTCACTAGAATTCCATTTTTCCGCGAGATCGTTCTCATGTCTTTCTCATGCCCGCATTGCCACTTCAAGAACTCCGAGGTTCAGCCTGCTGGCGAGATCCAGCAACGGGGCATCAAGTTCACCCTCAAAGTCGAATCAGCCGACGATCTGAGCCGTCAGATCATCAAGAGCGACACGGCGATATTCCGCGTTGAAGACATCGACCTAGAGATACCACCTGGCCGAGGACAACTGACGAATGTAGAAGGCATTCTCGCGATGGTAGCGCAAGATCTGGAGCAGAAGCAGGAAGAGAGGAAGCAGGTGGTACCAGAGGTCTATGAGCAGTTGCAGGGAGTCATCAACACAATCAAGCAGATGGCAAGCGGAGAGAAACTACCATTCAAGGTCACCATCGACGACCCCGCCGGCAACTCCTCGATCGAGCCTCCAAGCGTACTTGGTGCAGGTAAATACTCTCGCAACGAATACCCACGAACTGCTGCACAGAACGAAGCGCTCGGTCTCGGCGATACCAGCGGCGAGGCCCCTGCCACGGAGATTCGAGAAGAGTACAAGGCTTCACAGATGTACCCGGAGATGCCTTCCGCCCATGCTCCCATGGTGAACAATGTAGATGAGGACGATATCGTGGAGAACCAGGTCTATTCGTTCCCTGCCAGCTGCCCGGGATGCACCAAGTCGTGTACTACGAATATGAAGATGGTCAACATTCCCCATTTCAAGCAGGTAGTCCTGATGAGCACAGTGTGCGACCACTGCGGATGTAAGTTGAACTGATCAAACAATTAGGGTTCATCAGCTAACGTAATGCAGACCGAAGCAACGAAGTCAAGACCGGAGGCGAAGTTCCCGAACTGGGCCGCCGGATCACAGTCACTGTAGACAGCAAGGAGGATCTGTCGCGAGACATTCTCAAAGCCGAGTCGTGCGCTATGTCGTGCCTCGAGCTCAACCTCAGTGTCGAACCCGGTACTCTTGGTGGTAGGTTCACCACGATCGAAGGTCTCCTGACCCAAGTACGTGATGACTTGAGATCCTCAATCTTCGACGCTGGCGATGGAGGAGACTCGATGGACTCAGAATCCAAGCAGAAGTGGAACACCTTCTTCCACAACCTCTCTGCCGCCATCAACGGCGAAGACAAGTTCACTCTTGTTCTTGAAGACCCTCTTGCCAGCAGCTATGTCCAGAGCTTTACTGCGCCGGAGCCCGATCCTAAGATCAAGGTTGAGGACTACAAGCGGACAGAGGCTGAGGAGGAGGAATTAGGATTGCTGGATATGAAGACGGAGGGTTACGAGGAGGAGCATGCGGCGAGTTTGTCGAACGGAACAACGACCAACGGCGCGTAGGGTGGACAACTTGGACCTCTCTTAGATTTTCTTGACTCCTCTTGCATTAGGTCGGCGCTTCGTAGATACCACGGCCTCGCCAGCCATGATCAGTATGATATGATCTCACAGCCCACTCTTTCCTTCTACCGATGCTTTGTGATGGCTACAGCGACCTGATATCTGTTGGTCCGACATTGGCACTGTGATGGTACCCGTTGCTCAGACATTGATTTGCGGTTTCTTTTTCTTAAAATGCCGCGACATCCTTCAGGCTCCAATCACACGTTACGCTCTCAGCTTAGATGATGTCGCGTTGCAGCCACTGTCTGCCTAATCACACCTTGTTCATCCTGCAAGCGGGTTTGCATGGATTGTGACGCTCTTGATCTCCATCTTCTCGAGCGGTCTTGACTTCTTGTCTACCTGAACGCTCTCCATGTCATCCAGCACCTCCCACCCTTCTAGCACTTTTCCAAAGACGGTGTTCTTCCCGTCTAAATGCGGTGCTGGCGCGAAGGTGATGAAGAACTGTGAGCCGTTTGAATTTGCGCCCTTGTTCGCCATGCTCACGATTCCCCTCGCATTGTGTCTCAGCGCAGGCCGAATCTCGTCCTCGAACAGCTGGTTTGGCGTATCATAGATGGAGGTGGAGGTCTTGGACTTTGGGTCGGAGGCGGGGGCACCGGTCTGAACCATGAAGGACGGGATCAGGCGGTGGAAAGGCGAGGAGTTGTAGAAGGCGGATGCGCAGAGGGCGAGGAAGTTCTCAGCCGTCTTGGGGACGGCTTCGCAGAAGACTTCGAGTTTGATGTCGCCCTTGGTGGTATGTAGCTGTGTGCAATTAGCAGCGCGTCCGAGATGGCACAGAGTTGGGACGCACCGTGACGGACATGGTCGCGGGTGCCGATCGGTCGTGTTTGTGGTTTGGGAGGAGCAATGATGGCGCACGAATCGGACCCTCGAAGTCGAGAAGCTCCTCTACCTCCACCCTCGCCGCGCCTAGAACATCGCGCGGCTATCCGACTGCGTTTACTGCATGCAATCACCCTGCATTCGCTGTCATCATCATTGCTATAGCCAGCATCGCGCTCCGCCCCCTGGGCTCTCCACGCTGGTAGACGTTGGACATCATAAGCGCCAGCCGCATAAGCTCCACTCGGGCAGCCCTACGACTCTCGGGACGTAATCCACCACAGTATTCCCGCCGCGCATTCACTCCAAACACGACCGTATCCATATCGCATCCCTAACCCACGGGCCCGCCGCGCATCCACCGGCGTCGCTGCCACCCAGAGCCCCGCTGGTTCAAGATACGAGGCGCCTACATCATTCCACCCCCACAATTCGCTGCCCGGAAGGCTACCTAGCTCCAAGCACGGCGTAGTTGGCCGGCGCACCAGCACATTAAAGCCTCAGACGCGCGACTTGGACGGGCCAAGCACATCCTGAAAGGCCATACCCACGCCCATGCAGCGCTCGCTGCCCTCCCAGGCCTGCGCTGCGAGAAACGAACATGTCGGCCTTTGTTCGCGTCTCAGGACCGCCAAACAGTAACTTTCTGGTTGGCTATCCAGGCATATCAGCAACACTCGTACGTGTCTCTACTCTCCTTCTGTTCTCATTGGACCTCTTGCGCTCCAAGTAGCTCGCCTGGAGTCGCTGTATGACCAACTTTCCTTCAGCAAGGGTACTGGCCTGATGCTGACACACACCACAGCCTCGCATAGAAGGCAAGGTCGAGATCCGGCCACTCATTGGAGTCTCAGCGCCCGTCAATGTCTCCCTCGTCACCATCGCACTACACCGGCGCGAAACAATACACCCGTCTGCCGACTCGGTCACGAAGAAGCACCTGGCAGCCCCGCGCAAGGAGATTACCGACATTGTTGGCAAGGAAATGCTCCTATATCGATGTTCACCTGGAAGAGAACACGAGAGCATACTATGCATGGACCTCCCGTTCGTCATCTTCATACCCTATGGGCGTGGTGGAGAGGAAGTAGCGAGGAGGGTACCGCCCGCGAGTCTACAACTACCTAGTCGGACAGCTGAGACATTCTACGAACTCGTCGTGACAGTGCAACAAGGGCCTCAAGAACAGAAAAAGTATCCTTTCGCAGTACCCATACAACGATACGACACCCTCTCAACATTTGGCATGTACAACCGACCAGAGAGCGCCGAACGAGTAACGGACCACCTGGTCACTCTTGGGATCAGCCTGCCGAGATGGAGCTACGGGCCAATGGATCCAGTCTCTGTATACATCAAACTGAGCCCTAATCCCGACTGGCTGAGCAAGGCAAAGAAGGTTACGATACAAAAGATTACTGTTGGGATTGACGAGGAGATCATCTTCAATCACGAGGGAGACGAACCGACTCGCAAGGTCAAAACGTTGGCAAAAACACAGCAGCAGGTCGGAGTGAAGATGCCTGAAGCTGGATACTTCACCAACCTCGGACTGGTCTTTCCCGCAAAAGATTTACGAGACAACGCAGGTATCATACCTAGAGGGCAGAAAGAATTCCCCATGTATGCTGTTACTGGATTCACGACAACTGGTACTCTATACAAAATAGAGTATTACCTCACAGTCAAGGTAGGCTGCACTTGAAACCAGATGTTGTGAATTTTGCTGACTGGGAGTAGGCACAAATGTCGTCAGCGAGGGATATTCTTCTCCGTCAGCCCATCGTCGTTTGTCCGTTTGACCACGCTGGCTGCAAAGAGGAGATGGAGGCCATTGAGCAGGCAGCCAAGGACGCCGCACACGTCACACCCGACAACCCCATGTTACCCGCCAGTACTATTATTCGATCCAATGACCCAGAAGGCTTGCGCGCACTCGGAATTGCAATCGTGGGAGGCGTACGGAAACCGCTCATTGAGTGAAGTCTCAGTCACGCAGAAGAGTTGAAAATTTCGACTGATGCGATTTTGCCATGTGGAGAACAGTTGTGTTGGACGATCTACATGTTCTATCTCGGCTGAAGGAAGAATAAGACGGACTTGAGCAACAGAATACAATTGGACTGAGGCTGCCAATGATCAGCTAGACGACAAGGACTGCGTATTCGCGATACTTTCCACACAAAACCCTGGATCGCACAACAATGCGGAACTATGCACAACACAGGCGCAAAATCGATCATGCAACCAGCGGAGCCCGGAGTCATATCGAGGCTGCCATCTGCAACACGCATTGAATCTGTTTGAACACAAAAGGCGCAAGGTCATTATACCCAGTGAGCTTGTGCATTGTATAAGGGGAGCATTTTCTTGGCTTTTACTGGCGTTACACGGAGGGGACGATGGGACGGCCGCTTGTTGTTCAGTTCATGATACCTTCGAGTCGTTCATTCCCATTATAATCATAGTTTGAAGGAAGGTAAAGGGAGAACGCCTCGGCGGGTACCGAGAAGATTTGTCTTTTTGCGAACGGCTGTATGCATGGGAGAAGGAAAGCGAAGAGAGTGAGGAGAGTCAAGAGCCACAGCCGTAGTAGGCGGATTGCAACAGCTACAACAGGGACTTTGGAAATACCACTACCATATCACTTCAACTTGATTATCTCTTCCAGAAACACTTTCGTGACAACCATCCTCATTCCTCACCATCAGGCCACTGGTCCACCAAACCCTCCGTGTCACCTTCTCCCCCTACCCTCCCAACCAAAGCCGCAAGATTCATCCTAACGCTATACCTCAAATATTTTGTCTCGTACCTTTTCGCATAACCTCCACCCAACCCTCCAATATCACTCTCCCCATTGTTTGGATGATGATGCGCAAATATCGGTGGCTGAACCGTTACACACACCCTCTCGTCTCCACTCACACCTATGCCCCCACCCTCCACAGTAGTATGAGAGTTCTGGCCCTGCCGGCCCATGTCAGGATCATTGCCAGCACACCACCGGCCTAGTTCGCTGTCGAAAATGCCGTTCCACCCACTTACGCCAAATTGATGGAGGAGGCGTCGGGCGCCGCGTTGGGAGACGGCGTAGCTGACTGTACATAGAGTCCCGCCCGTTGCTTGGTGATAGATTCGTGTGTGGGGTGGGAATGTGGTACCTAGGGCGTCGGGGTCACCTTGGAAGGGGTGAGCTTTCAGGTGTTGTGCAGAGGGGACCGTGAAATCGTTGGGTTGGGTTAAGATGGTCGTAGTAGTGCTGTGGCGATGGTTGATGGGGATGTGTGGACTGAGTGCTGGACGTGGCATGCCGGTACCGCAGTGGCCGAGCCAGAGTATGTCCCATTGTGTTGGGTCGCCGTAGGGTGAGATGTGGGGATTGCTACTGTAGGAGGGTATGGAAGATAAAGGGAGGGAGGTTAGTGTCTTTGGGAGGTTTGAAGTGTCGATGATCTTGAAGGCTGTGTCTTCTGTCTCTGTGTTTGTATGCGTTTCGAGTTTGTCCTTCACTGTAGAGATACCATGGTTCCCTGATAAAAAGCGTGATGCGAGTGCGAAACGTTGTAGATTTTGACGAATCCGAATGTCCCAGTCTACGTCGTCTTCGAAAATCAGTGCGGTGGTAAGATTATGGTCGACTATTCTTCAGGTTGTTAGCCTACTATCATCTCGTAATAAAGTTCAGAGACCATGTACCTTTGTAGAGCATTCATATGTGTTCTCCAACTTCCTCGAATGCCTGCAGAATGCTTCCTGTTCTCTTCTGGTGGAGGGTATGCTTTTTCATTGATGCTCCCACCCGTGACGCCTTCCACGAACTCGAGCTTGATGTTTGAGGCGGCTGCTGAAAGGCTCATCGCATCGCGACGGTCGGTACGGAATGGAAGGTTGAGGACCAAGATGCCTTCGAACTTAGACTGTGTTAGCGAACGGTAGTGTTGGTTGGGGCTCTCCCATACCCCTAACGTAGTGTTTAAAATGTCCCTCAGGCTCTCATCTTGTACGTAGGCAAATGAATCTGCCGGTATCAAGACTCCAGGCGTCCTCATGTTGAACCATAACCACAAGGCACCGAAGAAAACACGTGTCGTCAGCAATCTAGGCGCCGAGCTCCAAGCAGTCCTTCTCTTTGCAACCTCGAATCTCGCGCTGCTCTTCGAAGACATTGGTCTCAAGGTATCGATGAAAATGCGTCGCATACATAGGGGTAGCGTAGCAGGAGCGGTACTGCGAAGATATGAAAGAAAGCATGATCAGCTAGTAAGATGCAGCGACATAGTATGGTCAGAGGTAGATCGAAATACTATATTCATGTTGCTCACTTTCCAGGTTTGAGGCCTTCCCTACGACCATTCGATGCGCGGCTTGCCTGGCTAAATCAATCTGCCGAGCAGACGCACCCCGCGTACTATATGTTCCTATGCTGGGTGAGCAACCGTATCGCGTCAGCTGATGTAGCCAGGCGTGAACATGTGTTTCTGTTGCATTCGAGAATGGCATGCGCGAGCACGTGAGCAGCAACAGAGGTTCGCATGCAGAGGAAGTGGATACCTAGTGTGGCAACTCGCCGCGGAGGTTTGTCATCGGAATCTTTTAGAAATGCGAGCCTATCGATAGGCCGGCGCGTTGCGTGACTGCTTTCTCCGCGACATCGGGGCGAGGGATACGGACTTTCCAAGTAGTACTGCGCTCTTCTTTCTTTCTTCATTGAATCATTAATTCTGCCTGCATAGTAAGGTGTTTATTGTCTTCGCGTACATTCTTCAAGTCGCATCGCGATAGCGCCTGTCGCCCCTCCCCCACTAGAACACGGCGCAACATGAGCGCCATTCTTTCGGCAGACGACCTCAACGATTTTATTTCGCCGGGTGTCGCGTGTATAAAGCCTATAGAGACGCTTCCAGTGCAACAAGCAGATAACTCGGTGTGTTTGACTCGCGCGTTGCGTCATAGGCCGGCGCATTCTGACAAAGGTCATAGGATCCATACGAAGTCACGACCGAAGAGAAAGCCGCTGCAGCAGAACCGCCACCACCCGCTTCAATATCGCTTACGGACTGTCTCGCGTGCTCAGGCTGTGTAACGAGTGCAGAGGCAGTACTAGTTTCGCTACAATCGCATACCGAGGTCCTCACAACGCTCGATACCTACCCGTCGTTACGCACACCGTGGCTGGCACATAATGGCACAAATGGGGCAACAAATGGACATACCAGTAACGGTGTGACGAACGGTGTAAATGGACACAATGCCCAAGGAAAGCTGTTCGTCGCCAGCATCTCACCGCAGACTCGCGCAAGTCTGGCGGCCGTCTTTAACGTTTCTGAGGTAGAAGCCGGAAATATGATTGCGCAGCTCCTCAGTGGACCCTCAGGCTTGAAGTCTGGTGGCCACCAGGGAAGTGACTTCACATGGGTCATCGACACCAATGCCATGCGCGAAGCCTGCCTCGTAGCGGCGGCGGACGAGGTTACAAATGCTCTATCTCCCGAAGCACTCAAGGCATCTCCAAAGCCTGGCTCTGAGGGCGCAATAGATACCACACCGAAAGCACCCATTCTTACGTCGGCCTGCCCTGGCTGGATATGCTACGCCGAGAAGACACACCCATATGTCCTTCCACATCTCTCGCGGCTCAAGTCGCCGCAAGCACTTACCGGCACATTAATCAAGTCAGTACTCAGCGAACGTTACAACGTGCCACCGTCTCAGATATGGCATCTCGCAATCATGCCATGTTTCGACAAGAAACTCGAGGCTAGCCGTGGCGAGCTCACCTCCGCTGCCTGGTTACCTAGCTATGATCAATCTCAGGACAAGATAAGAGACACCGATTGTGTGATTACAGCCCGTGAGCTACTACACCTTGCAGCTGCTCGTGGTATCAACTTTGCTTCTCTTCCACGAACACCGCTCTCCTCTGCCGATCGAACACCCTTCCCAGACTCAAAGATCGACGCTTTCCTATTCCCTCCTTCGCGCCGGAAGAATCAGAGCGTAGCTGCTGGGCCCTCCGGTGGATATCTACATCACATACTACAAACATACCAAGCTCAGAATCCGGGATCCTCGATATCAGTCGCAAGAGGGCGGAATGCCGATGTGGTGGAGTACTCGGTCGTCCGTGGCTCAGAAACAATAATCAAAGCAGCACGGTTCTACGGTTTCAGGAATATCCAGAACTTGGTACGGCGACTTAAACCAGCCAAAGCCAGTAGGTTACCAGGCGGCAAAACAGGTGTAAGCAGAAGGCCAGGTGGTGCCACAGCCGCAGGAGAGGGCGTCAAAGATTATGCTTACGTCGAGGTCATGGCTTGTCCAGGCGGATGTACAAACGGTGGTGGACAAGTCAAGGTTCAGGAAGTAGAAGAAGTACGCGTCTACGAAGGGGTTCAAGAAGCGAATGAAGATGCGCCCGCACCGAAGCCAGGACCGAAGGAGCAGAAAGAGTGGCTCGCAAGGGTAGACGAGGCCTACTTCTCGGGCAGCGATTCGGAAGACGAGGCAAATGCGCGAACGAACGGTCACAGTCCCGAGCATGATGTCGTTGATGGTATATCGAGATCACGTATGAAGGATCTCATGGCACATTGGGCCGGCATTACGGGCGTCGATCAACAGAAGCTGATATACACATCGTATATCAAAGTAGAAAGCGATGTTGGCAAAAAGAAGCAAAGCGATATGGAACGTGTTGCTGGATTGGCCGTGACCGCTGGCGGCGGATGGTAAAGCTTTGTTTACGAAAGAACGAACATATTAGACACGGGCATGAGCATTGGGTGGCGTTCTTTCTACACGTATAGAACCGGAGCTGGCCGTGCAATAATGCATTCGCATCGGTTATGGGTTTCTTTGAAAATCAAATATATCTCATCATTGATCAGGATTATCGGATTTGGCATGCTGCAAGACACTTGAAGCCGCTTTTTCTATATTGCATGTCAAGGTACGACTTGCATTCTCACTGTAACCTCAGCGCATCCTTTTGCTTTCTTTTTTTTTCAGCCGGTAATATCCCCCTTTCATGCTACCAACCTCTGCGCTCGAAGAAGTAGAAGAAGCAACACTATTGCCTATTCACAGCCAGAACCGACGTCATTCCATGTCTTTTCCGCTGTGGCTGCACATGCAAGTGTGTATACGCAACGGGCCGGCCCTGATCCCCTGACGCCCTAACCCCCTACTGTACCACGCGCACTTCCTTCTCTCCACGACCACCACTCACAGGCTAGACGAGAGAGCGCAAGATACACAATACCAATGTCACTACACACGGACTTGGTCTGCACTTGAGCTGACGATCATGCCGTGGAGTTCGGCTGCCCGACGCTGACGAGGATATCGCTGTATACTCAGATATCGTCTTTTCATCTACATGTCCAGGAAGATGCTGTCCAAGCCAAGTGAAGATAACGTAAGGAAGGCCGGTACGGTATATTGACGATCTTGAGTAGGACCGATGGTGATCTCGGAGAATCAGGGTCTGTGGTACATAGGGGATATGCTTGAAGCCCAAAGCCCAAGCGAAGACGTGGCTAGTGTTGAGTCATCGTGAACGCAAGAAGGGTTCATGGCTGTGGCGATAACGCGGGTGATGCGTTGTCTGGTCAAGGTGACGCAAGATTATTGCGTGTCCTGTGGCGAAAGCACGTACTTGTTGCCGTCAAAGCGGATAGATATACAGGGTCTGGCATGGATGCTGAGGATAGAACAGTGTATAGTTATTGCAGTCTGATGCCGCAATAGGCGCAGGCAGGCGAGCAGCGTTCATTGATGATGATGGAGTAGCTAACTAATGTTACATATGAGATACGCGTTCGGTCCAGCCAGAACCGAGGCTTTGCAGTATGAAAACAGAATCCAGGTGGTATCAAACTCCTTCCCATGAGCCATACGCGAAAGACGCGAGGCAAGAAACATACAATGACTAGCCATCCTGGGCTATATGTCTTATTACATATTACAACGGTTGGTATGTGGGGGCTGAGAAAAAATCAAGATAGAGTACGCAAGGAGAGTGCAGGTAATAATGGTACGCAAGGAGAGTTGAAACAGGGCCAGTTGATCGCTCAAAAACTATTCTACCCACCTCCCGTGTACCAAGTTTTATCCCAAGAAAACAAGGTTACCTCCCTCGATCACCCCTTCCCTTTTAACCAACAAGGATATATGTAAATAATACTGGTGATGGTATGATGTAGTCGCCAAATGCTCAAACTGGGGGTATCCGCCGACGAGATGAAGCACATAAAGGAAACTCGGTCTAGTATAGTACGGGATAGCGCCAGCAAGACGCGCCAAAAAAAAAACTGAAACAGAAGCAAGGTGTACACAGGGTGTCCCCAAACACGGACAATCCCTGTAGTAGACCCGAGTAACTTGCTGACAAGGTATCGACAATTTCCCGCGAAATGAACAGACGATGATCTCGTGTCGATCCGCCACAAGTATGATGTAAGATGCCACCCGAGATGTTGACTCAGTAAAAGGAAATATGTGGTGGTGGTACAGAGCGAATGTGGAGCTGATATTGAGAGAGAGAAAAAGGACAACGTTGACGTTGTGAAATGGTAAAACGATGGTGGTTGCGCAAAAGGACGATGAGGTGTGTTATAACGCCAGTAACACCATCCCAGAGAGTGCGCTTTGCTTTTGAGGGCTTTGCAGCGCATAGCGTCTGTGTCTATCTTTCTGTAATCGTGCACCGTTCCAGACGGGAGAGCTCAATGTCGTACGGTCGTATAGGAAGCGACAATGAGCGGGTGCGGTGACCCAAATTACAATTATATGGATGGAAGAGCATGCAGCGAAGGCAAGGCGAAAAGAAGTATGGGTCCCGCGATGTTGGATATCATCGGTGTCGGGTTTGAGCTGCCATAAGGCTGGCGGCCACACTTGAAGCCCAGTCTGAACCGTCATCGGGCGGTGTTGGCCACTTGGAAACAGATTGCTCGTTCTTGCTCTGATGTTGGGAAATGTCCATAGGCTTGCTGGGTGTCATATAGTCAGATTGTCCGAACCCCACACTGTTGCGGTTCTGTGATGGAGACGGAGTCGGGTATGACACCGCGGGGCGTGGACCTTGAGGTTTCGGCTGGTCCAGTTTCTTTGCAGCCTTTGTTGCGGATGCAAGAACTTCGCTGAGCAACTCTTCTTCTTCGTTGGGAACCTCGTACTGATTTGACGGGTTAGACTTGTTCTGGAGCGCTCGTCGTGTCCTAGAGGAGATTGGTGCATTAGGTCCGTTCTCTGAGTTTCGGGGCTCAGGACCGTGAGGTACTGAGTGGTGGCGCTTGAGCATTGGGTTCGTTGCAACACGCGAGCTCCTAGTTGAGGCAGTCTGTTGGGAATGTGCCTCCACGCTGTCTCTGACATGCTGCAGTGCTTTGTCTAGCTCAGAGAAATCGGAAGTGGAGGCTGATTGGGCGCCTTGTGATTGATCCATGATCAAGGATTGCCTGGCGCTAGTGGCCGCCCATGGAGCGCATCCGGCATTGGCCTCGATGTCGTCTGAGTTTGGCGACATGGGAGTCTGATAACGGCCTGAGAGGCGTCGAGCGCGCTTGCGTAGGTGCGAGAAGAACCCCTCTTTCTGGCCGTTAACAGGAGATGTCACATCCGACTGTCCATTCAGGGCTCTCTCTGCCTCTTGTCGGTGCACATCCGCGTAGTGATTGCCGTGTGAATTGACGGAGAGCTGTCGTCCGACCTTGCTTGCTGCAGTGGCTTGTGCAGTAACTTCGGCCGAAAGTGGTGAGATCGGCTTGATGGAAGGTAAGATTGGGATAGGCGCGCCATTGTTGGAAGCCCCATTTGTCCACGTAGCTCGCTTAGTGGCAGCCGGGCGCTGCTTGGTCGACCCACTCACATCAGAATTCGCGTGAGCTGGAGATGGCCGAGGCGACAAAGGTTGCTGTGTGGTGTGTTGTGGGACTGCTGGGGCACTCTCACGAGCGACGAGTGATCGACGAAGCCATGACGAGGTCTTGGATGTGAGTTTGGGCGAGGCATCTGGTGAGTCCTTGCCAGAGATTTCGGATCCTTTGCGACCCAACAATCGAGACGACGAAGACTTAAGGCGTAGAGGATCAACAGCGTCTTGGAAGTACTCGTGGTCAAGAGCTTGTCGAGAAGTAGGCCTGGCGCGGGGGTCCCATAGCAGACACCATGTGACGAATTGTGCCAAGCTAGCAGGCCATTGTGGTGATGGCAGAATGGTGTCTATTGAGTGTGGGGCCATCTATGTGATTGTTAGCTGGAATCGTGTCTCAAGAACCTCGAGTGACATACCTTGGGGAATGAGAAGCCCAGCTTCTGCGCTAACCTGACGCCCTCTTTCCACTCACCGCCACCGACACGTTGGCCGTGCTTGTTGACCCAACCGCCAGGGCTGCCCATGATCTCGCACACTCTCCAGACTTGGTCAACCTCGTTTCCACCAGGGAAGAGGGGCTTCAGGGTTGCGATCTCGACAGCCATAGCACCCACTGCCCAGATATCGACGGGTGCTGAGTATTGGCCAGCACGTAGGAGCACTTCAGGCGCACGGTACCACCTGGTGGAAACGTAGGTTGTGTATGGAAGCTTGGAGTGTGTCTCCCTTGCTAGGCCAAAGTCGGCAATCTTGATCGTATAGGCTGGGGGTGTTGAAGGAGGAGTCATCATTGCTGAGTAACGTCGGAAGGGGTGGGATGTGTCGTTTTGTTGCGATGTTGAGACGAGGATGTTCTCTGGCTTGATGTCACGGTGGAAGAACTCGCGGTCGTGAATGTGCTCCAGTCCGGACATTATCTGGAACAAAATGCTCTTTACACTGTGCGCGTCCATTGGCTTGTGATCCCGTGCCTTCATGAGCTGGTACAGATTACCGTCCATGAATTCCATGGCAATGTGAAGCCTTCGGCTGTAAGGGTCCAGGAAGATGTCCAGGGCTGGAACCAGATGAGGATGTGGTGGTAGTGATCGTAGGAAGATAACTTCCCGAAGCTCGAGACAGCTCGAGAACGAGTCGAAAGTCTTCTTCATGGTCTTGATCGCGACCTGTGACGCGTCAGTTGACTCGATACCTCAGTTCCTGTGTAGCGTTGTACATACCAGAGTACCACGACGAGCGATGTGAGATCCCGCAGTTCGTACGCGTGCAAGCGCGACGCTGCCGAAGCTGCCGTCACCAATCTCCTTCATCACCTCATACCTCTCCTCAAGGGAGGCCCAGCCATGTGGCTGTGCTTGTGATTCTGGATGCATATTGATGTGAATGTACCCTTTTGTGTTGAAGATCTGTTATAGCAGATACTTCCAATGGGAAGGACTGTACACGTTAGGAGATGCGTCATGACGAGCGATGGACTGGACGTACCTATTGTGGAGTCCTTGGACGATGATGCTCGATGCTCGAGGGGGCTTTAGTTCATCTCATGTGACGGTTGTAGTTGCAGAAGGTGATGTTGGTTCTTAGACGTCTTGGGGATGTGTCGTAGAGTTGAGGGGGAGGGGGAGTTCAGTGCGTATCGAGGGTTTGAGATGCGATAGGAGCGTGTTGTAAGGGTCCAGGTTGATGCAGGTGCGGGAATGTCGAGAAAATGAGAGACGACGGTTGGGAGGGCGTGTGGAGACAAGCCCAGGACCACGGTAGACGGGTAGTATTCCGCAGGTTAGGATGTTCTAGTGAGGTTGAAAGAGGAATGACTTTGTGACCATAGCGCAGGTAGCTTAATGATCGGGCTGGGAGATTTGAGAGTGCCTGTGCGCTCGGGGGAGTAGGGATGTGGACTTCCGAATCGCAAGTGAAGGAGGTGAAAGTTGGCAAGGTCCAGTGATTCGGCTTGGGGCAACAGAAGACGGAGCGATCTAGCGGGAGCGAGATGTGATGGAGGTCAGAGCCACACGAACGAAAAGACGCCGGCTTTGAGAGGCTGCTGTGATTGATGGACGGCGCGTGTAATGAGAGACAGCAAGGGGTGCGGTACTGGGTCTTTGCACGAGTCGCCAGGCCAGACCAAGAGATTAGAGTGGAAGCGGCGCTCGGGGAGCGTTGTGAGTCGTAATAATGAAGATCGGGCGGCCTAGACGGGACAAGTGCGGTCAAAGGGCCAGCAGTCGGCCTGTTGCTATGGTGAGAGCGGTCGCTGCTGCGTGCGTTGGCACAGGCGGCAGATGGGCGGAGAGAGACGCGACGGGTTAGTAGTCAACGAGCGAAACACAATTCATGCGCAGCGAGACTGGTGGGGGAAGCGTGTGGATTTGTGAAGCGGTCAGCGCAGGAAGCATGGCGACGCGATTGTTTTTGGGGGAGATGCGAGTGTGGCGCTGGGGGGTGGAGTGGATAGGCGCGAAATGAAGACGGGGGCTGACAGACCAGGCTCGGGGCGAGTGTGGTGAAGGACGGCGCGAAGGTGGTTCCAAGCTTAGCAGGAAGGAGCGTTCGGCTGACCGAAGCAGCCTAGCGCCCAACATTGGGCAGCCCATGGCACAAATTGTTGCAAGATGTTTTTTTATCGTCTCCTTTCATTGGGCCCCCTGCTCTCACTTTTGCGGCCATTTGCACTTTATGATCCCCCACGTGATGCGACGTGCATCGCCGTGCCAATTTTGTCGTGCGCGCATACATGTGCATTAGCCATGCACGCGTGTTATGTACGGCCACGACTAATTCACCGCGCGAGAGACATAGCCTCACCTATGTACAGCGCACACGCTCCCCTCACCGCAAAGCCACGCTGAGAATATACACTTCTCAAGTAGCTGCCGTCTGCCTGCCCTTCGCGCCCCCTGGGTGCCTGCATCTATATTGCACATGCTGCACCCATCCTTCGATCGCAAGGGAACGTCAGGAACGTCACAGGCACAAGCAAGCATCAAGCTGTCATTTCGCTGCGGCCCACGTTTCCACCCCTTTCATCCTCGCTCCGGCGCCGGTTCCTGATTTGTGGCAGGTTCCTGGATGGCCGTCATGCAGCCTTATTCCATTGGCCGTCAGGGGCTTAGCGGCTGCGCTCATTGGCAGAATCCGTCATGGGCACCCGTCAACGTGGTTTCGTTGTCGAGGCGTGCCTCTAGTCTTCCCGCGGCAGTCCGGAACCACGACGGCGAGATAGACCGTCAAGCCATCCCCTGCTCGAGTCAGTAGCGTAGTGAAAGGACCGTCCTTGATGCGCCGATGATGTGCTCCTCCAACACCGTGGGAATGAGGATGTGCGTCGCATGTGCGGAGACGACCTCCAAAGCAGTGAAACAGAACAGGATTTCTCCCCGCTGCTTCACATGTCATCATCGATAAACTATGATCTCAAGCGTCTTCGAGAAGCTGCAGGGCACGGCGCGTTGTGGAGAGTCCGACGCGTCGTGTAACCTCCTGTGATCGACGAAACGGCAGCGAGCGCAAGTCCCAACTCTATTCTCTGCGGGAACCTTTGCGGAGTTGCGGCAAAGTTGCTTTTGCCCATCAATAGACCGAACCTCTTTCGAGAGAGTTTGCATGATTAATTCACACTTTGGACGGACACTTTGAGCTGGCCGCTCCCTCCCGACGCGCGCAATTCCGTCGTTCCTCCTGTCAGTCCCTGCGCCATCAGCGACGGACCCTGAGTGACAATGGAACTGCTGTCCATGCGCACTCGACGATGGTTTCGTCTTGCTCAGGGCGAGCTGTTGGGGCCAGGGACCAGCAAGATTTACTCCGGGGCCCTCATTCTTCCAGAATTATTCTCCCGTGTTGAGGGCATGTCACAGGCTGTCCGAGTAGATTGCCGGCCCACCCTGAATGCTGCCTGATGGGTATAGAATCTCCGACACGAGCTTGAGCTTTCCGAATTTTCACCACGATCGGCCAGCGGCTGTCACCAGAGAGACGTACGACCAACACTGACTAGCATGCTTTATTGATGACCATCTTTTTCTCTATTCATTCCAACGATAATTGTGCGTGCCAATATCACTAGGTCAACAATGAACAGCGATGTCATCTGGCAAACTCCGTGTTATGAGTGCGCATTCAGGCAGTTTGTGAAATCTCAATACCCAGCCAATCGTTCGTCTATTCTAGTAGCCCGACCAGCTTACACCAGAGACGAGTACAGTGCAATGCAAGTCATCTTCCGTACCGGATATGGTGCGCACCACCGAGCTACCCTCTGTCTGAAAACCACATTCGTTTTTTCCTCCGCATCGGTAGGGTCTGCCAACGCTTATCGTTCTTCAGCCCTCCCGAGCACCATTACATGCAACAACAGCCGGAGCGTCAAAGAACCACGCGACACGGCACGAGCATAGGAGAAAACCCACCGCGCGGCAGCCCGTGTCTGCTTGCGTCACTCTTGACGAACGTTGTGTCTTTGTGCTTCTTCAGGAAAACCGGTTCAGGCTGCGCACCCAGTCTAAACGACCTAGTTCCTAAGGCCGTCTTGCGACACCGAGTTGGCCAAAACGACGGGCGCTGACGCAGGAGAGACTTAGGAGAGATCTGTTGCCATCGCTCGATCGCGGCAAACTTGCTTTGTTTCCGGTACCATGTCCCTCTTGACAAAAGCACATCTGATCACAGAAGAAGTAAGAAGCCAAACGTTGGAGAAGCAACGCGTTAGCGGGATGGTAGCTCAGCCTCGAGCCACCAGTTCTTCCGATTACGACAGAGCAATCTGTCGCAGCTTCAGCTTCATATTGTGGCGCCGTCGCTGCTGCACGACGACGTAGGTGGTACTAGGCCTTGAAGTCAAGTTACGCAGTTGCATTTGTCTTTATTGACACTGGACGTTGAAACAGCCACTCGTGTTTCGCACCATCTCAGCTACTATACCATGGTACATCCGCTCCTCAGCTGACAATAACAGCTCTCGGCGAATATCAAATCTAGCCAGCCATAGAGCCTGTCGTTGCCCATATATCGCCGATTTCATCATTCATGCCATCTCAGGGTCCCGAGGTCTTTGCAGAGTACGGACCATTGTATACTCCCCGCTCTCCGAACATCTTATCGGTATCTCCCATCCAACGTCAGCTGAACGGCTCCGCAAGGCTTCGGCCCGAAGCATGTGTGTTAATCATCTGCATCTGCCCGTGGACTACTGTTATAGCGATAACAAATTTTCCCTTTGGTACGTGGACCTAGTGTTTACGTGAGCTGAGCAATACACGGTCTGTGTACAGTGGAACTACCAATGTGTCCCCCACAAACGTCTGCATGTCACCTGCATTGCATCGTGTCAGTCTGTTGATCCAGCCTCGCCTGCTTCATCTGATAGTTCACACCGCAGAGGCCATAGTTCATACGGCCGTGATAGACTGCTCATTGTGCATACTGCCTCGGTCTCGTGTCATGCCATGTCATCCTTCCCCCACCCGGTCAATACAGCTGCAGCACCACGACACCAATGAACACTCTTACTCAGCATCTTACCCCAACATCTCAATTATCCAGCTCGATCAGTACATGCAGGTCTTAGTCGTGTCTTTACACGCGAGGCGCCACAGATCATAAAACCCCACATGATATGCACCACGTCATCCCACACCAATACTCTTGAGCGTCAAACTATACTCGTTTCTTGATAAGACTACACAGTACAGCTCATCATAACACGAGACAACGCAACATACACTTTCATTGATTCCGAACCAAGCTTTGCTCAAGGAGTCATCTGATCAGATGATAGACAGTCTTTGCAGACAAAATCGAGTGGTGATGAGCAAGCTGACCGTGCGTACCATCAACACGAATACACTCCACAGAACTATTGTGACTCTGCCTGAGCCTTCCCCACTCACGATGCAAACTGAAGAGAAATCTTGGTTGCTCGGGAGATATACAGATACTACTGCAAGCAAGATGGGCGAAAGCAAAATGGGTACCTGCAGCTAAGTCTCTCTTGCATCTGACAACAGCGGGCATCCTGTCCTTGACCGCCATTTCATGCAGGTGCGCGCATGCGCGTCTAGACGCGAGCCAGACCGAATGTGGTTTGCATAGACGCACGCAAGACCCAAGATGCTGGAATCTGCCGGTACAGGGAGTCTTGTCTCGGGGATCTGGCGGGTGTGGGTTCATGAACATGTTGATACACCGGATGGCTTTGCGGTGAGAAGAGCGGTCACGGTGGGCGATAGGATCTATGCACTCATCCAAGGATGATCGGTTCAACAGCATACTGGTTCAAGCATTGCGCAATCACGGTCCAGGTTCAGGGAATTAGATGTGGCAAATATATGATTGCATTACTATATACACTATTGCCATCGCGAATCTGCTCAGAAACAGCGATCAAGACCAAATCACTGTACATGGTTAGCAAACCAGTTCAACCAAAATGTGCTGTCAGATGACGACTTTAAGGTATAGGGATCAGTTCTCCAAGGTGATTGTATCTTCAATGTAATTAAGAAAGAACACAGCGAAATCATGTTGTTCATCATACGAGGGGTGGCGTGTAGAGCGGGATGTGATTCAACTTACCAAAAAGTGCAGGATAGTAGACCTGAAAACACCGGAGTGGGAACTGCATTCGAGATGTTAGCATACGTCCAAAGAGACATACGACATCCGTGGTGGATGGAAAGTACGAGTCCATCAAGAATCAGCCTGGTACACACACGTTAGTTAACGTTCTTGGAGAGTCTTCGATTCTGACATACCTCATTAAATCAGATTTTGTGGTAGTGATCAGTACGACGGACGCTCGTTACAACGCCGCCGCTCACACAGTGTGAATATCAAAAGAATCATCATTGAAATGATGGACCGTCTGTTGGAAGAAAGAGCTTGTCATACCTGCGAGGCCTGTTAGTTGAACAGTTCGCAAGAACGCATCGCAAAATGTGGTATGTGACGGCAATCAGAGATGCTGTTATCAACAAGTAAAGCCTCTTCCGAACACCCACAGGTTTGTACGCCTGCTTTTGATGGATGCCGGTCAAGGCATACGTTATGTCCGCCCGACGCATCGAGGTATCATCAGGAAGCCAGGAGTGTTCGCAGAGGGGAAGGTTCGTGTTTATGGGAGTATGTACCTGCAAGTACCAGAGTTAGCAAGTTGATCGCGAATAACGTCTTGCAAAATTGCGGTAGGGTTTAGCAGTGTCAGACAAGGCTGAAACTAAAAGCAAGGGTGTCGACATTGTATATTCAGGTCGAGGAATGCCTTTCCGTGTCGTGTTTTCATCACTCTGCGGGTGGTGGGATGAAGAGGTTGAGATGTCTTACCTTTAGAGAAATTGCGAAGAGATGAGGAAACTGCTGGCGCTGGTGACTGCGATACTAGAACGTTGTCAGCAAGTGTCCAAGTACACAGATTGGTAATGCTGATGCGCTTGATTGCATCATTGTAATTCTAGAGTTGTGTAGTCCTTCACGGTGCTGTAGGATTTGGATTGTTCGTATGTGATAATCTTCTGCAGGAGTCGCGGGGACGGAAAAAGCTTACCTGAAATGTAAAGCATGCGCGCTCTTTGAGTTAGTATTGATCAAGATGAGTACTTAGAGGCGCGCATAATGAAGCGCGTTGCGATGTAGGTGATGAGAATGATGTTGGATTGGTTTTGAGCTCCAGAAATTTTAGCTTGCTCCGGCGCCGAGCCTCCGTAGCGCCGCTTATGTAACCAACCCAGCCAACCAGTTCCCCACCTGCCCTCAGCGTGATGCATGTTTGGGACAATTGTTGTCGACGCACCTAGCATGTGTTCTAGTTTGCCTAGGCCTTCGATGAATATGCATCTACAGCAATGTCGGTAACCTCTCCCAGGACTGTTTCATGGCAGTTGAGAGCCTCTGCTGCGGTACCCAGGTATTCAACCCCTACCTAGGTACCTCCTAGATCATCTATTTTCCTCCAACATTGCTTTAGCGCACCTCCACAGAAACATCTACAGCATGGAGACAATGATTCATGATTTTAAAATCAGCCTGCTATCCAGAAGATCGGCTTCTTCTACTTAGTCATCTTTCCATTCTACTGATCTAGTGAGACTTATACGATTAAACGATCGCACCGGCCAGCAATCCGTACTGTATGGTGTATCATCTATGATCGTCACAGGAGTTCGTTGACTGCATTCATTACCCCGCACCGGCTACCATTAGCAGCTTACAAGAAGCCACGCAGTGCCTTATATGCGTTATCTTCGATTCTCAACAGGCCGCAAGGTAGCGCCATGAATTCATCGCCGAGCATTTGGCGCGGCGATGACGAAGATTCGTTGCCTTATACCCGAACTTACAGAAGGAGCAAATCAAGATGCCGGTATCAATAGATATCTATGCGGGCTGACACTTCAGCCTTCTGAAGAGACCGGATGCGGCAAAATCACCCAACAGTTGCAGCAGCAAGTGGCACTCGCTTCCAGTAGATGTTCGGGCAACCCTCCTTCTGATTCTGCCAGGTCTCAGCCTTGTGGCTTGTTCTGGTAACATACAAACTCAAGTCTTGCATCGAATTGAGGGAGAGAACTTAGCGATTGTTTCCGACATCATCAGAGTCGTCAGTAACCAGTAAACGATACCACTTTGGACTTTCGTCTATTGAAGTTATGGTGACTAACTTCTGGCCAACCTTGCATCCTCCCATCAACACGAGTAGTACTGAGAACCTCGTCAGAAGACCGGAATTGGCTCGGCGTCACGGATTTTGGAGTTTTCTTGCCCGCAGTCCTCTCGTTCCATTCGCCCTGTTTGCTGGAATTAGCTGTATATTTACAGTTGTGTTTTTCGCTTCGTGGTTGAGCAAACAAATCCTTCACTGCCCGGCATGGGCGAGTAATTGCACAGTGCCTCGCCGCACCCAAGAAATTACGGACAACATCGGGACCGTGCAAGGAATCAGCACAGTAGTTTACTCCATCGGATTGGCAGCAATAGCCTATGCTGCCCACGCTTTCTCTGAATCAGCTTTGTGGCCGCTACTGTATCGACAAAACTTCACACTGAATCAGATGGACATATACCTTAAGGCGAGCGGTGGCTCTATTGCTTCTTCCCCGGCTGCTGTGTTTACGATACGCAATCTCAACTCTGGTCTGATTCTGTTTGCGACCATTAACATCACATTGCTTCCACTTGCCGGCGCTCCATTAATGGGACGTGTATTTAATCAGCAAAATCAATCCAGCGTCTTTGAGAGTCTGTACGAACGCCCGGGTGGCATGATCGGTCCAATATTCATACAAAGAAACCCTCCTGGTGTCATGCTGGAACGAGCTGCAGCTTGGTACACTTCATGGGCGTGGAATATGTCTACCGAGCCAATGGGAGACCAACGCAGTTGGATTCTCGACCGGAAGACCTTGTCAGAACGCGGCAACTTCTCTGCAAACGCTGTAAGATTGCAACAGGAGATCAGCTGCACAGGGTGGAAAGCGAGACCCAAGAAGTGGAAAAACGGGATTCTAACATTCAATACAAGGATGAACAATCCCGAAAATGGGCGATCTGAGGGCGATCAACATTCTACTGCTGTCAAAGTTCGAAACAAGGACAAACTTGCTGTCCGGGCAGACGACTACGTATTTGAATCACCAACAAAAACCCGGGCGACGGTTGTTTTCGCTGCGATCAACGGTTCAATCGTCGGAGGTGACACCACAACTACGGAGGGGTTCGGCAAACAAATCACCAGTATAGCGTGTCAAATAACTATCGAGTTTGTGGATGACATCCTCACTGTCGGAGTGGCTCCCGATACAGCGAGAGCACAATTAGGAAGCGTTGCACAGCTGAGAAACTCTAAAAGCTTGAACGAATTGGCGCTCTGGTTTGCTATATCACCCGTTGGGAACGGGGCTAGCGTCTTCGGGACAATGCCGATGTATGATGCTCCTTGGGGCGAGATTCCACTCCGATTTACTTCTACCAACGAAGGCTTGAACAAAGGTTGGGAAATGGAGAAAATTCGACATTTCATCAGTGTTTCAATCGGGGCCACTGCACTTCGCGCAAGTACTTCGCCCGATGCCAATCCCGTCACAATGCGTTCGAGCGCCCACACACTCAAACTGGATCCAAATCGGCCACTACTCTTGCTTGTGCTGCCTGTTTTGATACTCATCAACGCAGCATTCCTAGTCTTATGGAACGCACGACTATATCGGCAAACCAAGATTCCGTGTTATCAGCAAGCGAAGCTGAGCGAGATCTTGACGTTCTCTCAGTCCAATGACCTCAGAGAAGCGGCGGAATCAGCGTGGCGTAGTGAAGGGGCAAAGAACAAACTCGATTCTCTGGGGGTACGCTACTGGTATGATGAGGGTGCTTGGGCTTTGCATACCGTGAACGCTAGGTCTAAAGGTCAGAAGAAGTCGCGCAGACAATCACTCGCTGGTTACGAGCTTGTTGATCGGAATGTATGAGACTTCGCGAACTACATTTCTTCGCTCGCAGTGATAAAACACAAGCATGTCCCTCAAGCAGAATTAGCGCTCGTATACCAACTATGTCGTCAGCGTAAACATTCTGCCATTTTTTATCTTTCATATAATTATCCACCTTTCACATAATTCTCTCGGACCTGCGCACAAGTTCAGATATCATATCAATGTAATCTCAAGCCGTCTCTTCTATTTTCTCAACATTCTAGAACAATGAAACCAACAACGACCGGACATTCAAAGCCGTGCCCTGATCCATATGCTGCAACCTCCTTCCTAATCTATACAACGCAACGCAAAGAGATTCGGAGCAAGTACCCGACATATCACTTTCTCATCTAAATCCTTCACACAACATCGCACCACAATCTTGTACTGACGCTTCGTCGCATCCCTCGCGTATGTGTGCCGCACCACGACTGTGCCGTACACAACGGCACGGATATATTGCAAGTAAAGAAGGGCGGAGGCACAGTTAGGAACAGAAGGAAGCGGCACAGAAGAATCCATTGATGAGGCACGGTTGACCTAGCGTAAGTCGTCTAAATCTGCTTACCTAGGTAGGCAAATTATCGCGATCTCGTCGCATAGTGCGTTTGAAACCTGCAAAGCGAGATTACGCGTTATCGACGTAGTGTGACGATTAAGTTCCGTGATTCGTGGTGTGATGGTGTGATGAAGGTGCAGATGATGAAGGGTCATGTGATGCAGTATGTCAAGGGCTTGCCTGCTATAGCTTTCCGTTGGTTCCAGTAATTACGTCGACGATGACTAAGGTGTAGTGCAATGAGCGTATCGGACTCGTGTTTCATCACGGGAAGGTCGAGACAATGGCGTGTCGTAGGTAGAAAGAGGGCATGATATTTTTTGTCACAGTGGATCATCCATCAAAAACCCTCTCATAGATCCTATTGATCTGCTTTCGCAAATGTCCCAGAAGAAGAACCCAAATTAAAAACAAGAAAGGCAAAAAAGTTGATCGTTTCGCTCTCTTCGCTATGCACACGCAAGCTCTCATCCGACGATGAGCATGAAGACAATCCAAGGCCCTGGTTCCATCTCAAACTGAATGCCCTTTCGAGCCATCAACTGCCGTGAAAATATACATTAGGAAAGTAGTTGGAATGAAGTGAAGTGAAGTGAAGTAAAGTAAAGTAAGGTGAAGTAAGGGGGGTATGGGGCATGCAAACATAAAAGGCAAGAAAGAAGAGAGGTATCGGACAAGGACCTCTCTATGTCCAACCGACCATAGCGCGTCCAACGGTAGATGTGTGCCAGAGATGCGAGCGTTGCAAATCGTTGAAAGCATAAAGACATGTCGAAGAAAAGACGCTACTGCGAGCCTCGGAGGGCAAACTAGGTAGAGCAGGTGTATCGGGGGTATGTCGCGCGTGGTATGTAAAGATCCCTTCCAGTACGCCGGTATAAGCAGGTAGCAAAGAAGCAAATACATGAAGGTTAAAGTTGTGGGTGAGTGGATAAGCGGAGAAGCTTAGAAGCAGTTTAAGGTGCCCTTCTTCTTGCCTTTTTTCTGCGCATTGTTGAGAGCTGCCATGCGAGCTTCGAGGTGGGCACGCTCGGCCTCAACGCGAAGACGGGCGTTGCGTTCCTCTTCAACGGCTTGGAGAGAGTGGCGTGCTGCGCTGCGCTCTTTGCGCATCACGTTCAACTCCTCTTCCAGAGTAGCACACTTCTTTCTAAACTGATCCAGATCAGTCTTGGTCTTGGTGCTTGAAGCTTCCAGGTCAGTCAGAGCATCCTCAAGGGTAGCTGTGAGCTGCTTTTCAGCAAACAAGTGCTTCTCGATGGTACGGATGCGAGCTTCTTGGTCTTCGACCAACTGAGCATGCGCAATATCTTTGCTCTGATGGCGCGAGGTAGGGGGAGAAGGCGCACTGGCCTGTGGTGGTGGGCTGCCAGGAGGGAGAGGAGGGAGAGGGATGGCAGGTGGTGGTGACGGCAAAGAGGTGTGCGCGGTGCTCTTGCGCGCAGTAGAGTTGTTCGAGTTGGATCGTTGAAGGTCTTCACGAGGATCCATAGAGACACGAGTAGAGTTTCGCTTCGCATCAACCAGTTGCGACTAAATCATGTTAGCTCATTGTTCGAAGTTGAGACTAAGACAAACTTACCTCCAAGAGTGCGATCTTGATGCGCGACTCCTGTACCTCCTTCTCAAGTTCTTCACCATGGTTCATGGCATCTTGAAGCTCGCGAGTGCGCTCAGTTTGTAGAGCCGACAATCGGTTGTTGGCAGCCTCATGCTGGTCCCAGTTCTGGTTGAGCTGATCTTCAAGTTCTTGTACGAGACGGGCGCTCTTATGCTCCTTCTCGCTGACTTTCTCGAGCTCCTTCAATGTCTCGGCGTTGATGATTTCGAACTCCTTCATCTTGCCCTTGAGTGTATTGACTTCGTTGGCGGCTTCCGCGAGGTCTTTCCTAGCCACCTCGCGGTCGGCTAAAGCCTCCTCCAGCTTGGTAGTGATGGACTTGCGTTCCTGAACCAGTGCTTCGATATGAGACTGCACATTGCTGATGTCTGTCTCCTCGCCTAGTGCAGTCGAAACACTCTCAAGCAGCGTCGCCATCTCGGACTTGGCCTGGGAAAGATCCGCTTCGAGCGAGGCAGATGTTTCTCGATGAGTTGTCAGCTCTAGCGTAAGCTTTTCAAGCTCGACTGCGTGTGTCTTCTGGATAGAATCCATGCCTTGTTGATGGTAGTCGATCGCTGCCTTGTGCTCTTCGATCTGCCTCTCCAAGTTGGAAACAAGCGACCGGTGAGTGTCCAGTTCCTTCTCGGTGAGCGCCCGGGCTTCAGAGTCTTCCTCAATCTGTTGGATAATGCTTGCATGAGATTCTTCAAGCTCAGCAAGGCGAGCAGCGTTGTTGACAGCCGTTGATTTGTGCTGGTCAACTTCGGCTTGTAAGGTAGCAATAAGCTCAGAGTGCTTGGCTCTCTCCTGTTCTAGAGCTGCCTCAGACTCAGCGCCTCGGGTTTGCTCGATCTCAGACACGCGTAGAGCGTGGTCAACTTCGAGTCGCTGTTTCGCAGACTCTAGTTCGCGAACTGTCTCAAGATGTCGTTTCTCGGAGGCCTTGGTAGCTTCAATGGCCTCGAGGTGCTTGGACTGCCAGTGAGCAGCTTCATCACTGAGCGTAGTAAGCTGAGTGTGGCGACTAGCCTCATCTTGAGGTTCTTCGTGACCGTTCACCATCGGCGTCGCCTCAGGCGTCCGGCGCGGCGATGCTAGATCATCAGATGAATCAATGCCCTTCGCAGAAGCCTTGAGGGTCTCAATTTGTTCTCTGAGTTCTTGTTCGCGCTGTGTGTGGGAATCCTTCAACTCCTTGATGTGCTCTTCATTCTGCTTCATCTGATCCTGCATCGAAGCAACGATGGAGATGTCGAGAGGAGACCCAGCCTTCAAGCTAGAACGTTCTTTTGTCAGGCCACTGATCAAAGTCATCTTGCCTTCCATCTCCTTGCGTACAGATTGCAACTCCATCTCCAGATCCTGCACTCGCTCAGACCGGACATGAAGCTCTGACATGATAGTGTTGAGGTTGACCTCAAAGTTTTGGATGGCATCAGGGTCTTCTTCTAGAGTATCCAAGGCCAAGTTACGAAGCGAGGCGAATGCGCGGTTAGAACGGTCGTTCGCGAGAACTGCTTGACTGGACTTTCTGCGAATCATGTGGACAGACGGGGAAGATGGTCGATTCGCTTGCATCTGGGCTTTCTGAACCTCCGACTTGAGCTCTTCGACGTAGTCGAGTGTGTCTTGATGCTCTTCTTGAAGGTCGGAGTAAGTTTGTTGAAGCTTCTCTATACGTTCCTCCTTCTCGTTGTGCAGTAGCTTCAGTGCCTTCAGCTCTTGGATCAGCACGGTGTCAGGAATGTGCTGCTCTTGGTTCGTGGAGGCGACTGATGTCCGTCGAGCCTTGGTCTCATCGTGACCGACCTCCGTCTCCTCTTCTGAAATATTGTTGTTGCCAGACTCCGCTAAGGACAATTCCGCAGACAATGTACGCGAGGACGATAGTGGGCCATCCTCTGGTGTGACACCATTCGTTCCCGCCTCTGCTAAGAAGGAGCTTGGTCGAGAAGAAGCCACTGACGTTACTCCATTACGGCGCGCCTCATCTACAGAGTCTTGAAGGGCGGCCAAAGTCCGCAAAGCCTCTTGGTATTTGCTGGCAAGTTTCTCGTAGTCTTGAAGCGTTCCTTCATGTTCAACGCGTAGGTCAAGCAGCTCTTGAGTGACGGTGTCGAGTTTGTCATTGACAAAGCGAGTTTGCGCCGGGCTGGAAGGCTCGTCGCCTGCGGCTGAAGCAGCCTTGACAGCAAAACGATCCTTTTGCTCGTCTGCACCGTCATGTTGGGCAGATGTGCTGGCTGTGAGTGGACGCTCACTCTCTTCAGGAATGGCATCCACGGGCGTGCCGAACTGGTGCATGCTCTCGCTAGTAACCCGCTTCTCCAGCTTAGGGCGCTTTTCGATGAAGGGATCACTAGGTGTCTTGGAGTGGCCGTTGACGTAGGAGTCATCAGCGGGATCCTTATGGTCGAGCTCGTGGAGGAGATTGTCCAATTTGGCCACGCTGCGTTGCCTTTCGACGACATGCTTCAGTCGCTCGATCTCACGGGTCATGATCTCAGTCTCCTGCTCATTCTCGGCCAGACGCTCTTCTAATGTTGATATGTATTCCTCGCTGCTTGTTTCGTTCTCGCGAGCCCTTTGCAGCTTCTCGCGCAGCTCAGTAATGATAGTGTCGTTCTTTTCGATGCCATTCGCTGAGTTGTCGATTTGGCGCTCGAGCGATTGGACATACTCTTCGTTGTTCGCGTCCCGTTCCATTGCCTTCTGAATGCGCGATTGCAGGTGATGGTTTTGGCTTTCGAGAATTGCAATGCGTGTCTCCTTCTCCAGAAGGTCGCTCTCGTTATTCGACAGAGATGATCGTGTGTTGGAAAGGGAGGCTTCCAGCGATTGGATCGTCTTCTCGTATTCCAACACTACGGATTCGACTGCCTCGGCAAAAGAATTGGATCGTTTCAGCCTCTCAAGTGCAGAGTCACCAATAGCATCCTTGAGCATAGGCGTTTCAGTTTCTTCGTTGTCGCGGGCTTTGGTAATCTCGGAGATTAACTTAGCGTGACGGGCGCTGAGCGCATTGTAGTTTTCTTGAACGTCAAGCAACTGGTTCTGAAGCTCAGCTTCGCGCTCGTCCTGGCGCTCGTGACGCTCTTGAGGGTTTGCTTTCTTTCTATCTGTGCGCTCAGATAGTCGAATCTGGTCTCGGAGAAATTGGACTTCGGCCCGCAAGCGGTCGATGGCCGCCTGTTTATCACTGTCGTCATGGATTTGTTGGATTTGGGGCTTGACTTGGATAGCGCGGGCGCGCTGGGCGTACTGGACGGTGTTCAAGGTTTCGCTTAAGTGGAACTCGGCTGGGTTAACACAAGCAATCATGTAGGTGATGGCGTTTCCGCCAAGCGAGTCCTGCAGCAGGCGCGTGAGCCTAGAGTCGCGGTACGAGACGTAGCCCCCATGGGAACGTGCCGACAGCTGCGAGATGACTTTGCCCAAGCTCGCAAGCCCTGCATTGATGGATATACCCTCCCGAGCCCGCTCACCCTGCGCTCCTGTGTTC